ACTTGGGCTTTATTATGAGAAAGTTAAAGAGGAAAATATAGGGTGGGATCTTACCAGCTTTCCCACTGGCAAAAGAGAGGGCTGAGGCCCATTTTGGCCTCTTAAAAAAAGGCTGTTCCAAGGATGTGGGACAATAGCTGCATTGAGGAGGGATGATTAGGCTAGATCAAGCGGAAAAGCTGGTAGGATCGAATCCACAGGGTGGTGACATAAAAGAGAACATGGTCCATTTTGCACCGGGCATTCGCCCCACATTTTCTAAGCATTCAACCTGGTTCCCCCTTGCATCAGAATATCTGTTTTCATTGCATTGCCTTGGATCCTGGTTTCTGCATTGGCTAGTGTCAGTTTGCCATCTATTTTGTTTTCAACTCTCACTCTTGCATTGGTATGCAGATTTTCCTGTGTCAGTACTTGCTTCAGCAGTCATTAGCCACCCAAGCCAAGTAATTCAGGGCAAGGTGACAAATACAGAGGGTAAAATGGGGGTGGGGGAACTGATGGAGATCAATGAAGCCGTGTCAAGTTGTCTGCTTATTGTTCCCTTTGAATCGGAAGTGGTGGAATGAAAAGGTGCTGCTCAAAACCACATTCAGATATCCTGGGGCAACGACGTATTGACTGTGAAGTCACCCCTGAACGGCCATAAATCTATGCAGAAAGTACCCCACAAAGAAAGTGAAAGCAGCATGCAGTGTAGAGGGAGATTAACCTCCCAACGTGGCTCTGGAAGAACGGAGAGGAAACAGATGGGTGCAGAATCAGCCTGTGTCCCATATCTCACTGAGAAATCCAATTAACAGTGAAATTCATTCCCAGTGGATATAGTGACAGCCACAAGCACAGATAGGGCTGCCAAGCCCCCCCGGGGGGCGGAAATCCCCCCGCCCCAGAGGCCCGTTCCCCGACGCCGGGGAATTGGGCCCCAGGGGGAACCCCGCCCCAGCGTGCACATCACAGGGAAGTGACGTTATGACGCCAGGCACGCTGGGGGCAGGGCCACGGCCATACAAGGGAAAACTCTATGGTTTTCCCTTGTATGGTCGTGGCCCCGCCCCCAGCGTGCCCAGCGTCATAACGTCACTTCCCTGTGACGTGCGCGCCAGGATCCAAACAGGAGTCCCCCGCCGGCAAAGTAAGTGCCACTTGGCAACCCTAAGAACAGATTATTTTAAAAAGGGATTAGACTAGTTCATGGTGGAGAGGTTCATAAATGGCTACTGGCCATGATGACAAAAGGGAGCCTTCTCATCCAGAGGCGGCCAACATGCAAATACCAGTGTGAGCAGACAGCATCAGGGGAAAGCTTGGGCTTCTGTGCACTGTTGTTGGCTCTCCAGGACAATTGGTTGGTTACTATGTGAAAAACAGATGACAAACCATTGGTCTGATCTAATTTATGTCCAATGTCCTATGGCTGTAGGCAAGGCAAATCCCTTTAGTAACCCAAACTGTTGAGGTTTAATATGGGTTTCATCCCAGACCATAAAGTGAAAGACGTTTAGAAGAAGGGTCTGCTTTTCTACACAGCTTCATGGTGCTTAGCAGCCGAATCATGCTGGTTTTACACAAAAGCCATTTACCGAAAGCATAAAAATGTCCCCACCATCTTGAAGACTAACAAATCTTCTCTGGACCAGAGATTTTCAGTGTTCCAGTTCTGTCTACAAGAAAATGAATGGAAGAACTGTAAACATTACTTGAAGGTGTGTTGCTTGGGTGCTTTTTAAAGGTTTGCATGTTTGTAAAATGATTTTTTTAAGTGAAATCCAGCCTGGATTGGCAAAGGAATGTCCCTTTAATGCTTTAATTTCTGAATGAGTTTGACCTTGGGTCTGTCAGGGCTCTCTCAGAGTCCTCTCAGCTCCACCTGCCTCACAAAGTGCCTGTTGTGGGGAGGGGGAGGGAAGGCGATTGTAAGCCGCTTTGAGACACATGAGGCCTGCTGGGTGACCTTGGGCCAGTCACCATTCTCTCAGAAATCTCTCAGCCCCATCTGCCTCACAAGGTTCCTGTTGTGGGGAGTGGAAGGGAAGGTGATTGTAAGCCACTCTGAGATGCATGAGGCCTGCTGGGCGACCTTGGGCCAGTCACCGTTCTCTCAGAACTCTCTCAGCCCCATCTGCCTCACAAGGTGCCTGTTGTGTGGAGAGGAAGGTGATTATAAGCTGCTCCGAGAGTCCTTAGGTTAGAGAAAAGCGGGTTATAAAAACCAGCTCTTCTTCTTCCCTGGTGTCTTACTTAAAACCCAGAAAAGATCCATGTTTTTAATGGTTCTGATTCTGTCCACTGCGCCCACTGCCGGTCCAGCTTTCTGGCTAGAGTGGTTTTGCTGCTTATCCAGGTTCTTTGCTGATAGAAATGGACATTCTGGGATGACAGCGGGGAACCCTGTTCTGCACATCCCAGATACAAAAAGTAAGGCTAAATGCCAGCACTCTGTACATGCTCTGGCGTCCAATCCCTTCTTCTATATGTATAAACAGCTGAACCTAATGCATAGCATAGAAGAGTCTCATTAGAGTGACTCCTGAGGAGGACATTAGCAAAGGCAATTCATGCTGGCGAGTGCATGAAACTGCACATGAAGCACTGTGTCAGATGACTGGTCCATCAAAATCAATGTTGACTACACCGACCGGCGGCAGTTCTCCAGGCTCTCAGATTAATGTCTTTCGAATCACCCATTCTCTGAGACTGAACTCAGGACCTTCTGCATGGAAAGCAGTTACCATCATACTGGTGATGCACAGCTGTCCTGCCAAGAGAAGACATGTTATGCAGCTACACAAAAACAAACAAACCGCGGCAAAAGCAGTTTGTTCTGCATTTCAGCGCAACAGCAGAAGCAGAGCTTGAGATAAGGGGGACGTGGTGTTATCCCATTAATTAAAAACTGCAAACCTCATTCATAAAAGTCCTGTCAACGATTGCATAGGTGTTGACTGCAAGTTATATAGTTGCCAGATCTTGAGAGAACCAGATGGCAGAAGGGTGATACCCCCAGACCAATGATTTCCTGTAGGCTCATGGGCTCCTTTGCATGAATAGAGCTCTTGTGCACAATGCTCCCTCTAAGCTGTGGAGTCTCGTGAGCAAAAATTCTATTTTGTGAGCTACTGACATTAAAGCTGTGAGTGAGCAATTTGGCTGCTGCATAAATTAGTCTGCTCTGGAGCCATCCTCCCTGAGCTAAGACAAAAATGTGTGAGCCGGAGGCTAAAGAACTGTGAGCTAGGTCACACTAACTCAGCTTAGAGGGAACACTGCTACATTCAGCGGAAGAAACAGAACAGAGTGCACACAGAGCTCCAGTCTAAGGCATTTTGACTCTTAGGAATTCTGAGGACAAGCCCCAGAATGTACAAAAACATTTGATGTCTTTCTTCTATACTGTTTTGATTATCTACGAAGCAAATTCTTTTTATTACAATGGCAAAACTATTTCATAAGACAGCAGAAAGGTAAAGGCGCAGTGATTGATCCAGATCCCAGCTTGAACATATTTATAGTGTGCATTTTTTCTCTCTGTGTGTATGTGTGCCAACGAGATCTGTCAGTCTTAGTAAAACTAGAACTTGCCTTATACAATATATCATACAGTTTATTCATTAAAATGTCATTTGTTTACTGCACGGTACACAAAGTCCATGCTAAATGCAAGCAGTGGCCCTTATTCACAAAAGTATTTTTAAAATTAGGTTTGTTTTCATTCTCTGTGTGCAAACACAACCCTCCCCACCCCCTTAAATTAAATAATTCATACATAAGATACACAGCTCATATATGGCTTTCATGGCAACTGACGTGCATTACAACTTCTTGGTATTCTCCGATACCAATCCCTGATAGTGTGGAACATAATCAGCTCAAATAGGGGAAGGCCAGAAGAAACAGAGAAAACCCAGAGAGCCGTGCAGAGCCACTCAAGTTCCTATGACATTACTGAAGTTCCTATGACATCACATCCTGCCCTGGTAATGATCAGATGGGGCCAGACAGGCTTCTGATTCTCCGTATCTCCCATGCACTGTTTTGCAGGTGGTTTTATGCAAGTTACACCCATGCATCCAAATCAGTGGTGGTTCTTGTGTCTATAGATATGGTATAGTTACATGGCAGACTTATTGGAGGTGATACTGAACATAAGGTAAAGGTAAAGGTTCCCTTGCTCGAAAGCCAGTCGAATCCGACTCTAGGGTTGCGGTGCTCATCTCCGTTTCAAAGCCGAAGAGCCAGCACTGTCCGAAGACGTTTCCGTGGTCATGTGGCCGGCATGACTAAACACCAAGGCGCACGGAACGCTGTTACCTTCCCACCAAAGTGGTACCTATTTATCTACTTGCAATTTCTTGCTTTCGAACTGCTAGGTTGGCAGGAGCTGGAACTAGAGATGGGAGCTCACTCCGTCTTGCGGCACCCGGGTCTCGAACTGCTGAACTACTGACCTTCCACAGCCTGCAGTTCAGCGTCTTAACCACTTGAGCCACCACAGCTCCATGATATTGAACATACGAAGCCACTTTATCTGGAATAAGAACACATCTTGCCCAGTCACGTCTCTTGTGACGGGCAGAAGTTCTCCAGTGTTAGACGGAGGTTTCTCACAGGTCAAGATCCTTTTTACATGGAGATCCTTTTTAACCTGAGATCCTTTTTAACTGGAGATGCCAGGGACTGAACCTGGGGACCTCTGCACCTGTGCTGGACCACTGACTCACAGCTCTCCCTTCCACTGTGACCTTGTTGTTGACTCCGATGTACCGTTAACGTTGGTAGTTTTCAACAGATCTTCACCACATAAGGATATGGCGTTGAGGTACATTTGTTGCTCAACTGAAGAGACTTCCTATGATTCCTGAATCCCTACCCACCCTTCCAGAAAGTTTTTAAAAACTGTACACTTGGGTAGAAATGTCATTATGCCACTCCCATCATCTACAAGTAAGCCTAGAGCGCAGTCATCTAAGTCTCTATAAATCAGTCTTCTATGGCACGCATTTATACAGGGCGAGATGGTAATGGCTGGTGTCACTGGTCAAAATCATTTCTTCTTCCTCCTTCTTCTTTTGCCTAAAAATGTATTCCAGCTAAGGATGGCAGAACAGAAGGAGAAAGAAAATAACTCCAAATCGTGAGCTCTTCTATAAGCACCTCGAGTTACCCGCTCAAGGCTTTGTAGTTCTTTTAAAGGCAGACATCTGTATCCATCCATCCTACGTATAGCTAAGATGGTCCAAGGACGATTTGGCAGGGAAGATAACAGCTTGGAGGGAAACGAAGATGTTTTAGTGCCATTTCATTCACCCTGCAATAGAATTAAAAAGAAGAAAAACGGCTTTACTGTAATGTGATATTTTAGGCATGTAAGTGGAGAAAGATCGACGAGAGCATTTAAGGAGGACCTAAAGGAGACTGCATATTGTGGGAACGAAAACTGAATAAACTGTTTTTGCAGCAGAAACAAAAGCTTGAAGATGAAGCTTGAAGGTTATTGAATCTGTTTTACTGTTTGTAATTTGTTTTAAACCTGATTTGATTGTATCCTCATGAAATGTTGCACACTGCCCTGATCCCCAGGTATGGGGGAGGGCTGTTTAAAAATGTAATTGATAAATAAATAAGTAAATGAACAGATTCATTGTGATTTGATGAAGTGGGATCTAGTCTCCGTCTCAATAAATCTAAGGTGCCACAAGACTTCAGTGTCATTTAAAGCTCCCCCCCCCGGGGGCATTACGTGCCACTCTCCGCTTGTCGCCAAGGTGGATTTTGCAAATCTAAACATGTTTTGAATAACAGAATAAGGCTGTTTCTTGTCACCTTAGGAAATGGACCATGAATTCAAAGCAAGACCGGCAGATGTCAAACATGCTCTGAATTCAGGGGCCAGTGAGGTTTTCTGATTTTCACAATCTCTTATGTATCCAGATTTCTCTGCTGACAAAAGTTCACCAAGTTTCGTGAGTCGTAGGAAGAACAGAGAGCCCAGTTCCTTGGCTAGCTCCTGATTCTCCTTCTCTTCCCCTCCCACCTCCTTGTATTGAATGATTGGCTGAGTTGGAGAATTTATCTCTGGCCTTTCTTCTACGGTATATCACTAGACCAGAGGTAAGCATCTCCTAGCATGTGTACCAAACACTGGATCAAAAGACACAAGGCTGGGTCTCCACTCAAAATACCAAGGATGGATGTGGGGCTCTGGATGTCCCGCTCGGTTTCAGCTCACTCTCACTGGGCTTTTTGGCTCATCTTATTTTCATCACATGTGCCTGTATTGCATTGCTTTCCCCCCATTGTCCACACATTTTGCTCCCTCTAGTGGTTGCTTCGATATTTCATTCCTGTATCTCCGGCTTCTTTATGAGCACTTTAATTGTCTGATCAACCCTTTCCCCCTCCCTTTTCATTTTCAGGCATGCCAGTATCTTCATGGGTACATATTGCAAGGGTTTTTTTGGCACCCAAGCCTCAATGATTGCTTTCTTCTGACCTAGGCAGCTCACAGTTAAAAATATCTAGACAACAACAGTCAAGCTAAGTAAATAAAACCAAATCAAAAGCAACCTAAACAAACAAAAATAAGAATAGCTACTCTTAACTTGTTCTTAATTGTTAAAAAGTGACTCTTCATTTGGTTTTCATTCATTTAGTTTGACTTAGTTGTTGAAACTAATTTTCGTGTTTTTTTCTGTTTCTATCAAGGGTATTTTGCTTATGGAAATAGTCCAGCTTGCAATTCCAAATCTGGCATCACTTCACGTTCCCCCAAACTGAACACAGCAGATCCCAAAAGCAGAATCTTCCTATCCCAAATTGGAACCTAATTTGAGGTGGGGCTGAGGAAACTACCTCCTCCTCCTCCTCTTTGTTGGGTCTGTTAATTCTCAAAGCAAGTCAAGCGAATTCAGTTTTTTAAAGATCTAGGAGGAGGATTGTTGATACATTGCAGAAAAAACTCTTTACCTCTCATTTTCCAAATGACAAGAAACAAGGAAGATGCAGGTCTTCTAGTTGTGAAGCACCGCCTGGCTTGGTTCTGATGCTGCTACTGGCTCTTCTGTATTCTTACAAAGTTTAGGTTCACCTGGAAGAAACACACACGCACAAACATCTGGTAAATGTTGTCACAAACCCATGCATATTTCCCCATTACTTTGTTTTTGTGTGGCAAAAGCTCCCAATGGGCCAAAGCACTTGATACATTGCACCCATATATTATATAACCTGGTGGCTGCTTCTATCTTGCCGTGAAGAAGCTGCATGAGAAGAGAGGGTAACAAACATACTCCTGTCCCTGCTACTTATTCACCCGTAGGGTTTTATGGGAGATAAATTTGGTAGGTTATATTGGCCTGTATCCTTCCTCTAGCCCAAAGTAATTAATTAATTGTCGTATGGCATGGCGTGTGAAATAGCCAAGGGTTTGTTTGGCTGTCGAAGCTGTAGCTCTTTTTTGGCACCACTAGGTGGCGAGCTGTGCTTATTTGTAGGCTGAGAGTGCTGTGATTTGCCTAAGGTCACCCAGCTAGCTTCAAGTGGAGAATCAAAACCGGTTCTCCAGATCAGAGTCCACCGCTCTTAACCACTACACCAAACTGGCTCTTGTCTAGCCCAAGGTGCCTTCCTCCAACAGAAGTGGCTGTTCCACTGGAGGAAGAGCCAGTTCTTTTGATGGAAAGTTCCTCAAGCCCAAGGCAGATCATGGGGGGGGGGGCAGGAAGGGCTACATCAGTGCTTAGTTCTCATGGCCCTTTCTTACACACCCAAGGAAATGCCGATTGCCACTTTGGGGTCAAGAAGCAATTTTCGTAGAATCGTAGACTCACAGAGTTGGAATGGGCCATCACAGGCCATCTAGCCCAACCCCCTGCACAGTGCAGGATCAGCCCGGAGCATCATCCCTGACAAGCGTTTGTCCAAGATGGGCAGCCATGTTGGTCTGAAGCAATAGAACAAAGTTAGAGTCCGGTGGCACCTTGAAGACCAACAACATTTTATTCAAGGTGTGAACGACTATGATCTGTAATTCCATTTCATTGTCTGACAAAGTGCGCATGCACACGAAAGCTTACACCTTGAATAAAACTTTGTTGGTCTTAAAGGTGCCACTGGACCAGTGTTCCCTCTGAGCTGAGTTGGTGTGAGCCAGCTCACAGTTTTTTAGCCTCTGGCTCACAGATTTCTGTCTCAGCTCAGGGAGGAGGGCTCCAGAGCAAACTAATTTATGCAGTAGCCAAATTGCTTGCTCACAACTTTAATGCCAGTTGCTCACAAAGTAGAATTTTTGCTCACAAGACTCCACAGCTTAGAGGGAACATTGCACTGGACTCTAACTTTGTTCAAGTGTTTGTCCAGCTGCTGCTTCAAGACTGCCAGGGAGGGGGAGCTCACCACCTCGCTAGGCAGCTGATTCCACTGATGCACAATACTTACTGTAAAAAAGTTTTTCCTAAGATCTGGCCGGTACCTTCCCACCCTTAATTTAAACCCATTCTTGAGAGTTCCTCTCCTCTGCTGCCAACAGGAACACCTCCCTGCCCTCCTGTAAGGGACAGCCCTTCAGATACTTCAAGAGAGCAATCATGTCCCCCCCCCCTTCCAGGCCAGTTTGACCAGGGATCCTGGAGAGTTTCTTTACCATCTTCTGGGCATGGAGCAGGGGTCACTGGGGGGTGTGGTGGGGAGGTAGCTGTGAATTTCCTGCATTGTGCAGAGGGTTGGACTAGATGACCCTGGAGGTCGCCTTCCAACTCTATGATTTTAATGAAGGAGTTTTGGCTATAGCAGCCTGAATAGCCCAGCTTAGCAGGGTTGGCCATCGCACTTGGATGGGAGACTACCAAGGAAGACCAGGGTGGTACGCAGAGGAAGGCAAAGGCAAACCACTTCTGCTTGTCTGGAACACCCCATGGATGGGTCACCACGAGTCAGTTGCAACTCAGCAGCACATTCTTCTCCTTTGGTGTAGGCCAGTTTGGTGTAGTGGTTGAGTGCTTGGACTCTAATCTGGGAGAACCGGGTTTGATTCCCCACTCCTCCACTTGCACCTGCTGATGTGACCTTGGGTCAGTCACAAGCTCTGGCACAGCTGTCCTTGAAAAAGAGCAGTTTGTGTCAGAGTTCTCTCAGCCCCACCCACCGCACAGGGTGTCTGTTGTGGGGAGGGGAAGGGAAAGGAGTTTGTAAGCCGCTCTGAGAGTCCTTTGGGTAGTGAAGGGCGGGGTATAAATCCAATCTCCTCCTCCTCCTCCTCCTCTTCTTCTTCTTCTTCTTCTTCTTTTCGCTATTCTCTTCTCAAACTCCACACCGTCAAAATAATCCTCAATACTAATGAAACAAAACTTCTATGCCTACCTCTTCTATTTGGAATGCATCTCATCATGATACAAAATTAGAAAAGAAACCTGGTTGGGGTTTTTTAGTACAGATCAATTGGCCTGTGGGCTTCTGATGATGTTAAGTGCCTACAATTAGTGGGAGGTACAGTAATAACAGGAAGAGAATTACACAGCCAGAAAAAGAAATCAGTCATCATTATTTTCTTGGGGTGGGACAACTTAACATTACTTTACAGCAATACTTACAGCAGCTATTTAAAATGACATCAAAGGCTTCTGTTAAAATATTGCCATTCAAACTTTCCCATTTTCAGGTCACTACACTCATCAGTGTCTTAAAATCATCCCGTATTTAAAAAGCAAGGCTTTCAGCTCTGACCATAAGAAGAAGAAAAGAGGAAGAGAAGAAGAGATTGGATTTATACCCCACCCTTCACTCGGAGTCTCAGAGCGGCTTACAATCTCCTTCCCTTCCTGTTATGTCCGCGGACCGCCACTGGGAGCCCGCGATACAGCGGAGCTTGAGTCCAGAGAACAATGAGGACTAGGCTCCTGCACCCTGCCTCTAGGGGAACCAATGGGACATTGGCGGGAGGTTTGAATGGGCCAATGGGATTCCACAGGGGTTCCCCAGACTGTATATAAGCGGCCGGTCGTTGGTTGGCGTGCGTGTTGTGTACTAATAAAGTGTGCCGTGTATTATGCATGCCTCGGTAGTTCTTCCATGCGGTTAACCCACTACACAACACTTCCTGTCCCCACAACAGATACCCTGTGAAGTAGGTGAGGCCGAGAGAGCTCTGAGACAACTGCTCTTGAGAGAACAGCTCTGAGACAACTGTGGCTTGCCCAAGGTCACCCAACAGCTGCTCAGGGAGGAGTGGGGAATCAAACCTGGTTCTCCCAGATTAGAGTCCGCGCTCTTAAACACTACACCAAACTGACCACATGGAACAACTAGAGACCCTCAGATGGGAATGCACATCCTAATTTGTATGCAGGCAACCTCTTTATAGATCTGTGGTGTTTCCTCCACTATAAGAACCTTCGATCAAATGTGCCTCCAGAGTTCTATATTTCCCAGGAATGTGTGGTCTAATTCAGATCGGGACCACAGTGCAGATGGAGAACAGGCTTCAGCCCGCATCTTTTTACTGATCTGAAACAGCTGCCATCTGCCCCACTGGCCCTTTCTTACACGCCCAGGGAAATGCCGATCACCACTTTGGGGTCAGGAAGCAATTTTTCTCCAGGCCAGTTTGGCCTCAGTGATCCTGGAGGTTTTTTGTCATCTTCTGGGCAGGGAGAAGGGGTCACTGAGGGTGTGTGTGAGGGAGGTATTTGTAAATTTCCTGCATTGTGCAAGGGGTTGGACTAGATGACCTTGGAGATCCCTTCCAACTCTATGATTCTATGAAATGTAACGGCTTGGATCTTATTTCTCTCTTTCACGAAGTTGGATGGCTGTGACTCCTTTCCATGAATTTTTCCTCCAACAAAGAAAGACTTAATTAGAAAAAGCCTCTCACCATCAAAAAAGTCATTCCCCATTGGAAGTAGTCTTTCTCTTTTGAAGGAAGACTTAGTGCAAGACAGTCGTAGGACCCAGCTTTAGTGGGAAAAGTCATAGAATATAACCCAATGTAAGTCCCCAACAGGGCAAATAATGGCTCCCTGGGGCCATTTCAAGTTGGCAAAACAGTGCAGATGAGAAGGCTGAAACCCATTCTCCATGTTGGTGGCACATCAGTCCTTGTGCACACCTATCCCATGGATCTTCCATTCACTGCAGATGTAACCAATACGTAAGTGCTGTCAAATCACAGCCAACTTATGGTGACCTCTTTTTCAAGACGACTAAGTAGCAGAGGTGGTTTGCCTTTGCCTTCCTCTGCAGAGTCTTCCTTGGTGGTCTCCCATCCAAGTACCAACCCTGCTTAGCTTCTGAGATCTTATGAGATCAGGCAATGACATGCCTCCTTCCCTTCTATAACCAGTGGGTCTGACTTAATTGTGATGGAACAAGTGCCTGAAAAATCCTTGAGGACACATACACATACTTGCCAATAGGGTATTACCATTTAGGGGGGCGGTGGCTTGTGTTTCTTGCTGTACATCTGCCGTTCCTTTTATATTTGCAGGGAGTTTAGACACAGTCTCAGAGCCGGGTACATTGATCAGTGAATTGAGAGAGTTCACTTGAAGAGCTACGGAGGCGGGGGACGAGTCTATTGACAACGCTGTGTCATCACTTCCCTGCGTGTTCTCATTTGGCGTCTTGGTTGCCACCTCCTCTGATTGTGTGCCTGTGGCATGTCTGCTTTGGTCTTTAGGCTGGCCTTTGTGCTGCCCACCGACATTTTGCACGAGCTCTTCTAGGAAAGGGAACAAAATACACGCATTAGGTTTGTTCGGTCATGCAGTGGTTTTCCTCTACAGCAGGCCCGCATGACTCACCAAGACAAATGCAGCCCACAACCCACCAGGGCCCTCGTAAATCTCCACTTTTTGCTTTTGGTCTGCACAATGTTTTTACTGTTTCTCTGAAACCCCTTACACGCCACACCTGGAAAGGCACCTCTCTGTAGTGTTCTGAGGTGATGTGCGTTATGCTGCCTCCTCGCCTGCCTTAGCGTTCCCTACTTATTCTTGTGGCCACCAAAGGCTCTCACCTTAGACTTCTTAGGATGGCCTAGTTATATTTGGTAGAACTTATTTATTTAATTCATTTGCACCCTGCCTTTTTCCCCAAAGGGGACCCAAAGCATCTTACATTGTTCTCTACGCCTCCATTTCATTGTCACTACAACCCTGTAAGGTATGTTAGGTTGAGAGAGTGTGACTGGCCCAAGGACACCCAGTGAAGTCACAAGTGGGTAATAAAATTGAGGCCTCCCAGATACTACTCCAGTACTCTTAACCACTACATCACACACAGAGAGAGAATGGTCAGTTCATGGTGGTGGCTATGTGGTAAAAGGGCCTCTCTTACTCTAAACAGAACAGTTTTCTCTTAAACACAGAGTTTATTTGGAAGTATAACAGCATAAATGTTTCAGTAAAGGTCATAAGCGTAATGGTTCCAGATAGGCGGACAGATCTTCTTCTTTCTCTAAAGTTTCTTAAACAGACCTAGCCACAAGGCTTATTTTTCTCACCTATCACTCCTAACTTGCACAAACCTTCATTTCCTAACTTGCCTCTTAGGCTAATAACTCCAACACAGGCTTATTTTTCCTCACTTGCCACTTTCATAACCGCCACACAGTGCATAGATTTCTCTCACAGCACTCCACAGCACCTCACCCCACTAACTCTCTCTCCCACTAAGCCTCTCAAAACCAACCAGTCAACTCGCCCCCCTAGGCCACAGCGGCCATCCAATCATAATGCACTTCACTCACCCATCCAGCCCCCCCCCACTCTACAGGCCTACATTTTAAATCACAGCAGTTCTTTTCCTCAAGGAAAGAAGCCTTCTCTAAATGCAAGATGTGTGATGGAGGGCCTTTTACTTCGGGGGAGGCTCCTCATGATTGGGAAATGTGCAATTGTTCACGGAATAGATCTATGGGATCCAACCCATTGTGGTTAGACCTGTGAAATGCAAAAGGTACAGATTCCCCAGATACAAACCACCACTGTGCAACAGGACCATTCAGCCAAAGGGAACGGCAGATGGCCTTCTGTTCTGTCCCAGAAGCCTTCCTCATTTGGCACTAAAAACACTTTGAAAAGTAGAGAGATTCCACGTAGCCTGACCCAACCATGTTTGCATGGAAGCACATCTCACTAAACGGGGTGGGAGGGATACACTTCATTGTGCTTTGGGGATTGAAGACTCTCTCCTCACTTAAACAATGGCCACATGTTACCCTTGCCTAACAAGAGAATCACGCCTTACAAATCAGATCTAATGGTAGCGAAGGCCTTTTAAAATCAGGCTTGACCACAAATCTCATTTCAATGAACTTTTCTGTCTGGAATTTTTCAATTATCTATTCATCACGGATACGTCACCGTCTGTTACGGGCAACTGTCTTATTTCTCTTCCATTTATAGAGACATTACTGCAGGTCTTTTAAGAATCAGTCTACCCAGGACAGATCTAAAGGATCAGCGCTGCATACTCCATTACAGGATCATAAATATGTTCTCACCGGACACTTTAAAGATGGAATTAACAGCAGGGGCCATGAGAGCAAGAGTAACATTTTTAACCACAGTCTAGACCCATTTTTGATCAGATCTGTAGCTGTACACCTCTAGCTCCTCCATTAAAAATATTAATCAGGGGGAAATGGCTTGAAAAATGAATTCAGACATATTGGTTTGGATCTAAAGTACTGGGAGCAGACCAAGGCTCATGGAATGGGATTTTCCAGTCTCCCCATGCCATAACTGCAACCTCCTGCAATTCTGCTCTTGGGAGTTACAGGACTCTCATTAACAGTATGGTGGGTGGAGAGAGGGCTGGGCCCCATGGGAGGGAGGAACTGGCAAACCCCCCCACATCTTCTCACCTCCAAATCAAGGCCCCCAATTCAAGACTGGAAGAAAGACAACCCAGTCCAGTATACAGAGTGTGGTCAGGTTTCAATAAGTAAAAGTACCAGTTGCATTTACTGGGAAAAGCTTCAGCCCCAAGAAAATGAACACAAACATGGCAACCAGTGTCCCCTCTAAGCTGAGTTAGTGTGAGCTAGCTCAGAGTTTTTTAGCCTCCGGCTCACACATTTTTGTCTTAGCTCAGGAAGGAAGGCTCCAGAACAAACTGATTTATGCAGTAGCCAAATCCCTTGCTCACAACTTTAATGCAAGGAGCTCACAAAGTAGAATTGTTGCTCACAAGACTCCACAGCTTAGAGGGAGCATTGATGGCAACTCTCAGAATGGGGAGCCAGACTGCTGCTTATACAGAAATATCAAGCCCACACTTTCCAAATTGTACCAATTAATTCAATAAGTTAAAAGAAAGCTTGGGTGATATTCGAATGCTAGAATTAGCATTGTTACTTCGTGCAGTCCAATATTTCAACATGTGGCTATTCGGATGGGCGTGATCCTCCTTCCAATGGCAACAGAAGAGGCTTTTAATCGAAGTGTTCTGTATAAACAAGCATGTGTTCTGTATACACAAGACCTTTAGGAAAACATAATGATCCTTGCTGCCGATCAGGTCGCTGGAGACTGATGGCATCTGGAAGCTCTTTCGTGGCTGACGTCTACATGCAGATGCAAATAATCTATATATAATCGTTCTGGCCCTTATTTCTGTTGGATTAAATGCTTTCCATAAAGCAGAGTTTTCTTAACAAAGGGCTAGGGAGGGAGGGAAATCTGACTGCATTCTGCTTTTAACATGCCTTTTAAAATTCCGTGGTCCTGAAATGTTTGCACGCAAAATGACGCTCCACATGCTTTGAACTATGCAGGGGAATCACCCCAGATTGTGACAGAAATATCTGATTCAGAGACATACCTGCAGTCAAGAGATGGGACGAGAAGCTGAACTCTCACCCACCCTGGATGGAGATGCCAAATGGCACCTTTCACTGGCCACATTGGCATGGACATGAACAGGCACATGCAATCCAGTGAGATGAGACTGCCCATCTGTTGAGCCAGCTAGAGTCCCTGTTCACAGAACCAATGAAGACAGAGAGACAAGTTCTGGACCAGCCTACCTATGTGCACAAGATTCTCACTGTGGGCACTGGGGGGGGGGGTAGGAATTCTGAAACTGAGGTGATGGTTTTCCCCTCAAGCACATGACGACTAGTCCTACTTTCAAAATTTTCATTCCAAAATTGTACATTCCAAGCTCACATAATAGATATAGATGAAGGGGTGAATCGAACCACCAGACCAAGACACGCACAGGTAAATTGGCAAAGTTGAAATATACCTTTTTCAGCTAACTCTTTCCACCTGTCTTTGTTTTCTTGGATGATCTGAACCAAGTTGTCTTTGAAGCTCATTAGATCCACAGTTGCTAAAGAGTTTTCTGAGCAAGTCCCACCATAGCATGCAGTGGTACGAGGCCCGATTCTTTTGTGCGCATCCGTGCTCCTGTCTCCAGTGCTGTTCTCACTGGGGGGAGGGGGAATAAACTAGATTAGAAACTGAGTAAGTGGGCTCAGTTGCATGGTAAGCCACAGCAGTTCCTTGCACTGAGATAGATGATAGGACATTCTTGAGTTAAATGAATAGAGCATTGTTACTGATGCAGAGAAGTCCCAGGTCCCTCCAGACAGCAAGCGCAGTGGATTACCCAAGGGAAAGACAGACAGAGCCTATAGATCAGGGGTCCCCAATACGGTGATTGTTTTTAGAAGGTGGGTGTGATCACGTGGCCGCTGTCCAGCAGTGCTTCTGATTGTCCAGTGGAGATCTGACTGGCCGTCTAAATTAAAATAATGCTGTTTCAACAGCAGCTGCCATCACAGTTTTACAAACAAACAGACAGAATAACCTTTCTTGTTGTACAAATCACACTAGAAATCACGGTCTTCTTATATGGTTCTACTTACAACCAAAGTTAATAGTTTTGCCACCATGCATAAATGACAACTGCACCAGTTGAATAGTGACCTAATGGTCCTTGAAAGTACAAGTCTCTCTTCAGCTTGATGTGGTCACCAGCTCGTGGTGCAGAGAGGAGTTTCCAGAAGAAAGCATGCAGTAGACGGCATGAGCTCAGGACTAGTGGTAGTGCGAACCAAAAGAGTGGTGACGGCATGTAAGCCGCCCTGAGCCACTTCAGCGGGAGGGTGGGTTAGAAATCTAATTCTCAAATAAATATCTTCTTATACGGTTCTACTTACAACCAAAGTTAATAGTTTTGCCACCATGCATAAATGACAGCTGCACCAGTAGAATAGTGACCTAATAGTCCTTGAAAGTACAAGTCTCTCTTCAGCTTGATGTGGTCACCAGCTCGTGGTGCAGAGAGGAGTTTCCAGAAGGAAGCATGCAGTAGACGGCATGAGCTCAGGACTAGTGGTAGTGCGAACCAAAAGAGTGGTGAGGGCATGTAAGCCACCCTGAGCCACTTCAGCGGGAGGGTGGGTTAGAAATCTAACTCTCCATGCCTAGGTTGCTTTGCCGTTTCTTAGGGCTTCATCAGGCCGCTTTTCTGAAGAGAGACTTGTACTTTCAAGGACTATTAGTCACTATTCAACTGGTGCAGTTGTCACTTATGCATGGTGGCAGAATTATTTGTTATGTGTATTAATTTTGGTTCTAAGTAGAACTGTGTAAGAAGACAGTCTCTAGTGTGATTTGTACAGCGCGATAGATTATTCTGTTTATTTGTTTGTATAACTGCATTCGCTGTATTTCCATTTTTGCGTGTTTGCCATTCTCCTCTCTCATTCCTCTTTTAAAAAATGACTCTCCATGTCCCCTGCCCTTGGGCTTTCTCTGTGTGCAGCTCTACTTCTCATGGTGGCCATTTTGTGGCTGGGCCCACCATCTTGTGCCAGAATTCCAACAGTGCCCACAGGCTAAAAAAGGCTGGGGACCCCTGCCATGGATTTTTTCCTGCACTGAACAAATAGCAGAACATAAAGCGGATGAGGAAAATTAAGAACACCCCTGACCTCCTGCTTTCTTATTCCCTCTGTCAAATTATGGACCTGGTTCTTCATATTTTAAAATGCAAGATATGATATCAAACCCTCAATGTTTTTGAACTGTGAGATGCAGAGCTGTAAGCCTTTTCTTAAACAACAAATTTACTTGGCTCAGATGGTATCTAATGAAGGGAGGTTTGACTCTCAAAAGCTCATTCCCCAAAACCTTGTTGGTCTCTGAGGCAGGGATGTCGAACTCATTTGTTATGAGGGCCAGATCTGACATAAATGAGACCTTGTTGGGCCAGGCCATGTGTGTCATAAAACGTAATGCCAGATAGCGGAGATATAAACTTTATAAAGGACAAACACAAAGGGTTTTTTTTTACTTAAAATAAAAACATGCTTAAAACGTTCGCACTCTTGCAATATTTTATTTATTTAACAGTTTGATAACTGACACCTCTTGCTCTGAATTACTGCATCAAAATGTCTGTGCTGTTGCAATCTTGAGTATGCTGTTCAAGTGTGTATCTGTAAGCTGCAAACTTACGATGATGCAGCAGCAGAAGAACTGGAAGAAGAAGAAGAAGACAGCCAGCTCCACTGCGGGCCTGATAGAAGCCCTCTGGGGGCCTAATCTGGCCCTTGGGCTGCATGTTTGACACCCCTGTCTAAGGTGCCACCATACTAAAATCTAGCTCTTCTACATCAGACCAGCATGGCTATCCATCCAAAACTTGCTCGGATGGCATACCATAACTGGTGCTAGAAAACGAACTTCCTCGAAATTTGCCTTGGCTAAATAACCTTCGCATTTTAGCTAGGCATTTTCAAGGGCCTCCTTTCTCCCTGATATTTCCTACAGAAAATTTCAGTTTCACTTTGCTGGAATTCAATTCTTTGTATAATTTGTTATTTCTGTCCTGTATAGTACACATCTGGAATGCAGTTGTTAAAATTGCCATTAGGTGGCAATATCATATTGGGTATTCTTCAAATTTCAATAAATTGAAAAACTTAATAGCAAAAGTTATATCGTGGGTAAGACAAAAAAAGCTTTTACTGAACCATGTTTAAAAAAAATAAAAACTCAAACCTGGGTGTTGTCAAAAAGGGAGGGCTTTCCGATTTTGAAGCTTCCTCTATAAGAGGGAAAACAATTTTCTCCATGGAGTCAGTAAGGAGAGAAAATGTTGGCTTCACTATGAAATCAATGAAACCTGCAGGGGAAGAATAAAAGAATATGGTGAGTATCCCCTTTCTTTACCAGTCGATAAGTAACAGCAGAATCTAAGTTGGTTTTGGAAAACACAATGCTCTAGCATTATTGAAGGCAAAATGGAATTAGGCCACTTGGGAAACCTCTGGAAGCTCCATGTTAGTCACTCTGAACACTCCAAAGAAACAGTGGGATACATGAGTACGGTGAGGAAATACATATTTCTTCAGTGTGAGGTGACATTTCCCAACTGAGTGTTAAAAACAACAACTGAATAGCTGTCCTTTTGTCTAATAGCTGAGGGCTGGTCACCAAAAAAAAGGGCCCCAGAAAATCCACACACTAGGGCCAGCCCCAATAACCATTTTAGGTTCTGCAAACCCAGGGGAACCCCTCAATTTGCAGAACCATTCAAAATGTTTTTTAAAAAGAGGTTTTTTAAAAATCCCCAAAGCTGACAGTGAAATCTGGGAAAATAAAAAACAGCACAGTTTGGACAGATATTGCCAAAGCAATCCAAAATGGTTCCTGGTTTACCAGCACTGGGTGAGGATGAGGCATATATGAGGGAAGTGGAATGGCAGCGAGACAGGGGTCCTTTCCGTACTAGATCTTAAATCCTGGTTTAACCCTGTCCCCAAACTTACATTCTACACTACACACGAGTTCACCCCTGTAGTTATCTCAGGGTACTTTACATTCTACACTCCACTCGAGTTCATCCCTGTAATTATCTCGGGGTATTTTTTTTTGTTTTCACATTACATTGAGATCACCCCCGGTTTCGCCGCACACTTGTCCCGGGATAAACGGATGCTGTTATAACCAGGGATAAATGCAAGGTATTGTGTCACAAGCTGAACTCTGATAAAACCAGGGATGAGATCCAAGTGCGGAAAGGACCAGAGAGACAGAGAAAAAGTGCAAGGGCATTGACAGACCCTGACCCACAGAGGGAGCTAGCAGGACAGAAGGAAGAAAAGTGGAGCCAAAGCTTGGGAGGAAGGGCTAGCAAGAGGAATGCAATTTCCTCTCCCTGCAAGTCCTTGTGGGTACCATTTTTGTTATACCTAAGTGAACTACAGATTTGAGACTTTAGAGGCATTTTATTCCATCACTGCCTAATTTCGACGAGCATTATAGAGGTGACATTTCAAGGAGAAGAAAAACAAACAAACAAAAAAAGAACACAAATGTCTTTATGACCTTTAATAAGATAAAATTAATGCAGGGTTAATTAACCGAGGATTAAATCTATCAGTGCTTATTAGTGATGACAGTTAAATGGAAACGTCCGTGTTCAGAGGTAGCTCTACTCGTGAATAACTGGTGCTACGGGGGCAACAATGGGAGACAGTGCCGTGCCTAGCTTTTTGGTTTTCCAGGCGCTCCTGGTTGGCCAACTGAAACAGAATGCTGGTCTGATCCAACCGGCCCTTTCTTACATTCTTATTATTTGCAGCTTTAAATTTCCTACCACGTTATTGTCCCTATAAGCTCTCTGCTTTAAGTGGCACTTAACGGGTTGATTTGATTTAGATAACACTAATACTAATAACATCTAGCATTAACATGATATTTTTAGTTTTCGAAGTCCTTCACATACATTCTTTCCTCACAGCAGCCAATATTATGGATACCAGAGAGGGGAACACCTCAGTCCACCTAGTAAGATTTGAACTGAGGGGAACTCCCCAATCACAGATTACTTTAGTAACTCTTTTAATATATATCCAACCGGCCCTTTCCTACATTCTTATTATTTGCAGCTTTAAATTTCCTACCACGTTATTGTCCCTATAAGCTCTCTGCTTTAAGTGGCACTTAACGGGTTGATTTGATTTAGATAACACTAATACTAATAACATCTAGCATTAACATGATATTTTTAGTTTTCGAAGTCCTTCACATACATTCTTTCCTCACAGCAGCCATTTAAGATGGGCCAATATTATGGGCACCAGAGAGGGAACACCTCAGTCCACCTAGTGAGAACTGAGGGGAACACCCCAATCACAGATTACTTTGGTAACTCTTTTAATATATATTTTATAGTAAACCTTTTAAAGGTATTTTATGCCAATAAAGGTAAAACTGATGACTGACTGACTCTGTTTACTTTTACCGCCCAGCCTGGCTGTACTCTTGAGAACTTCCAAGTCAGTCCCTGTGATCCAGTAGGGTGGCAGACCAGGGAGACTTGGGTTTGAACCCCCACTCATCCATGATGTCTGTTGGGTGTCCTTGATCCAGTGATTGTTCCTCCTCCACCTAACCTATCCCACAGGGTTATTGTAAGGATACAACAGGGGAGAGGAAAACTGTCACCCCAAGTTTCTCAGAGTTTCTCACAGGAGTTGTCGAGTCCCTTCTGCTGAACAATGAGCACCTATAGTTTTTTGTGTGTCGTTGCTTAGTTTTGGAAAGATGTGCTGCATAGCAAACAAGGGTTCCATAGCTCCTGCCACTCTTTGCATCTATGCTGAGAAGACCAGCAGGACAGAGAGGGGAGATCACTCAGTGGTAGATTATGCCAATAAAGGTCAACTGATGACTGACTGACTCTGTTTACTTTTACCGCCCAGCCTGGCTGTACTCTTGAGAACTTCCAAGTCAGTCCCTGTGATCCAGTAGGGTGGCAGACCAGGGAGACTTGGGTTTGAACCCCCACTCATCCATGATGTCTGTTGGGTGTCCTTGATCCAGTGATTGTTCCTCCTCCACCTAACCTATCCCACAGGGTTATTGTAAGGATACAACAGGGGAGAGGAAAACTGTCGCCCCAAGTTTCTCAGAGTGGTTTTCCCTCAGATTAGGAACCTCACAGGAGTTGTCGAGTCCCTTCTGCTGAACAATGAGCACCTATAGTTTTTTTTTGTGTCGTTGCTTAGTTTTGGAAAGATCTGCTGCATAGCAAACAAGGGTTCCATAGCTCCTGCCACCCACTCTTTGCATGTATGCTGAGAAGACCAGCAGGACAGAGAGGGGAGATCACTCAGTGGTAGAGATGCCTCTGTGGCTCTGTCCCTCGGTTTGTTCCTCACTACTGCATAATTCCTGGTGCTTATCTTCTATTTCTGTTCCACAGCTCTTTTGGTCTGCAGCCCATGGTCCTGGCCTTGATACCACTTGGGTATTCCCTCTGGTTCTCCCTCTTCCTGTCAGATGACTTTGATGTCACACAGCTTCCTGTCATGTGATAACAATCCACTGGGGCCCAAGCTCTGAGGGTTCCAAGTCTGAAAAGGCTGCCTTAGAGGGAGGGTGGGATAAAAATGTGGTAACAAAAGTAAACTATGGGTGGAAACACACTTCTGCACCCAGACAGTCCTTCTGGATGCGGTCCCATGGACACAAAGTGGTGCCCAGAACCATTGTCCATCTTCTGAACAGAAGAGATCTTCCAACACTGCTTCTGGATCAGGACCGTTATGTGACTGAGCCTAGGGTTGCCAAGTCGTGGCGGGGGATTGTATGTCTTCGCAGAATCCGTGCTGCGGGGACGGCGAGATGCTTTGCACCCGCCGTCGCCAGGATGTGACGCTATGCGTCGCTCTGGCAACGGGGCTCCAAACAGCCCCATTGCCAGAGCGACACGTAGCGTCATGTCCTGGTGACGGTGGTGCAACGCGTCTCGCTGTCCCCGCGGCACGGATTCTGCGAAGACATGCGATTTGGCGAGATTTGGTAAGCCTAGACTGAGCTGATATTTCAAATCACTGTTTATTATTCCAAGCAAGTATAAGTTCACAATGTGTTAGCAGTGTTCTGTCAAATCAGTGAATGGAAACAAGCAATATCCCTGGGAAACAGATTTCAACCCACAGTTCTGAGATGTCAGTACTGAACAATGTCTTTTTTAAAAAAAATACATGTTGAGGCAAGAAATTACACAAAGCATTATCCCCCACGGGAAACTAAAGAGGCAAAAAAATAATAATAATTCGATAGGACACAGAACAGCAGCAGATTTCCACATCCTTTCTGCATGTTAGATAAATGTGCCAAGCACAAAAGCAAAAAGTAGCTTGCTACCTCATTGAAAATGGTTATGATCAGAGGGAGAGACTCTTCTACTTAGGTGAACCGGGATGTGGCAGCACTGACACCTAGGAGTTCAGCCTCCCCTCTCATTTGTTAGCTGGGCATATTTGACAGCATGAGAGAGAGAACATCTGAAAATGTGCTCGGTGCGTTTTTGTCATCACTGAATCGGCAAAGCCAGCTCTCACATTCAGGTGATCAAGAGCCGGCGCCAAAGACGTTCCAGGTGACTCATTTGCAGAAATCATGGCTCACACGAGCAGACGGCTCATGTGAGCAAACGAATCCTGGCAGAAAGCATCTGGGAGGGACTGCAGCTACTCTTCAGTCACCCAGAAAATCCTGACACTCCCTTGCTTAATCATATATCTGCCTGGCATTCGGAGAAGATGGCAGCAGAACCACAAGTAACCATCCATCACTATGTGGTTAGTGAGGTGCTGTGGTAGATGTCCTCACCCTTTCAGCCGGGTTGCCAGTGCTGGGTTGGGAAATACTTGGAGATTTGGGGGGTGGAGCCTGGGGAGGGTGCAGTTTGGGGATGTGAGGGACCTTTACAGGGTATAATGCCATACAGTCCACCTTCCAAAGCAGCCATTTTCTCCCAGGGAACTGATCCCTGCCATCTAGAGACCAGTTATAATTCCAGGAGATCTCCAGCCATCGCCTGGAGTCTGGCAACCTTAGCCAGTGGCCTTCTCTTCTCAGTCCTTCTCTGCACCCTCCCTTGCCTGTGATTTGAGTGAGGGAAGGGACCGTACACCAGGAAAAGGTGTGTGTACTTCATGGAGTTCCTCCACTCTGTCCCAAGTCTGGAGACCTCAGACTGGAAGGGGAGGGTTCTACAGTACCCTTTGCCTCCCCAAAAGTGCTGCTCCTCTGATCTAAGGACATGAGCTTCCCCCTTGGCCACCCTCCCCTGCCCTTTTGAAGAGGGCTCTGCATTCAGAGCAGGCCCCCTTCAGGCTCCTTGGCCTCTCATGGGGCTCGACTCCCCATAAGAGGTCAAGGAAGTCACCTGATGCAGCTCTGCCTCTGCCCCAGGGGAAGGCTCCAAGACTCTGTAGTAGAGCAACTGTTTGGCACGCAGAAGGTCCCAGGTTTCAATCCCTGGCATCTCCAGTTGGGATCAAGTTGTAGGTGATAAGAAAGAACTCTGGAGAGACACTGTGGGACTGGGTAGACAATACTTGATGGACTGATGGTCTGACTCGGTATAAGGCAGTTTCATGTGTGTGCCTTCCCAGCTGAGCTGACTCAAGGGCCATTGGTGCAGCCCTACTGTAACCACACCTCCCATTCATCCCCCCCCCACCAAGCCAGGGGAGTGCAGTAGCTTCAAAGACCACCACCTTCTTGTTGGGAATAACTGATTAATTAGTCCAGTATCCCATCTCAAACTTAGCAGAGTGCACCCTGGCTACACACAGTAGAATCCTGTTCTCAGTGTGCTGGCAGACTTACAAAGTAACAGGGATCCACTTTTTCCGTTTCAAGACTAATAATAGTCCTTTTACTTAGTAACAGGGATCCACTTTTTCAGTTTCAAGACTAATAATAGTCCTTTCACTTAGGAACTACATTCTAGATAGTGAAGCTTAAGAGATAGACACAGAACTAATCTCAGCTACCTTGGACGGGTCCGGATGCAGAGAGGCATCCAGCCTCCATTGTGGATGTGTGCAAGAGAGGAAAGTGAGAGGGCAGAATGGAAGGAAGGAAGGCAATTTATCAGTCTACAGCAAAGAACAGAATCCGGAGAGTAAACAGGGAGAAAACCCACAGTTTGCCTGTCTATCTCACTGGCTTGTTTGCAGTCCCCTTCCCCCTTTGTAAGCTGAGGCTTGAGGACAGCGACTAGGCCGTCTCTTCCAACACATCTTCCTTGCTGAATGGCCAGACAGCACAGGTGGCCCCGAAGCATAAGGAGCTGAAAGCAGGTGAGTTTCTGACCCTAAACCTAAGATGCTGGTTACAGATCTGTCAGTGTCATTGTTATTATTATTATTACCCAGAGCACCTGAGCACAGTACAAAAAGAATATTAAAAGTATATTTGCATAGTGCTGTAGTAATAACAATAACAACAACAACTGCAGTGTGCTCAAGGCCAGGGAGGTATGCTGGGATTCCATTGTGGGGTAATGGACTGAGTGTTGAATTAGGACCCGGATGGTCCATGTTCAAGTCCCCACTACTCAGCCGTTAACTCACTGGGTAACCTCGGGTCAGTCACCTTCGCTCAGTTTTGCATACCTCACAGGTTTTCGTGAGCACAAAGTGGAAGAGGGCGAAGCATATATGCCACCTTGAAAGAGCAGGTTAAAAATAGCAACCCAGCAGCTGACCAGGACCGGGAAATCCCTGATGCATCATGATGTCTATGCTCAGTGCAGACAGTGACGTTTCTTCAACGTTCTATTGACTTTCCCTTCATCCCCCCTCACCCCCACATTCTGTCTTGTTCTCATTGCGATCTCACCCCTTCTTTTTAAAAACCAGAACAGAGTTTGAGTCCAACTTTAAGACCAACAAAGTTTTATTCAAGGTATAAACTGTATCTGAAGAAGAGAAAGCTTATACCTTGAATAAAAACTTGTTGGTCTTAAAGGTGCCGATGGACTCAAACTTTGTTCTGCTGCTTCAGACCAACATGGCTACCCACCAGGATCTATTTTCTAAAACCAGTAACCCTAGCCTCCATTTCTCCTCAGAGTGTGAGGCTTTTAACGTGGAAGGACCCCAGTCCTCCTAGACGGTGTCAAACTCATTTGTTACGAGGGCCGGATCTGGCATAAATGTAACTTTGTCGGGCCAGGCCACGTGTGCCATTAAACGTAATGTCAGATACCGGAAATAGAAACTGTATAAAGGACAGCAATTGGTAAGCTCTGAGTTGATGCATCCTCACCGCAAGGCCCCATGATCTGGGAGGGGGATGCAGAGGAAAACCCACATAAGGCGGACTGGAGAGGCAGCAGTGAAGCATTGAGCAGATGCTCCCATGATGCTTGAGTGCTGCAGAGGTGGTTGTTCTGCCATGCTGAAGCCACAATGGAGTGGCTCCACCCACTCCCCCCCAGCACTCCCTCCCTAGCATCAGTTCACAATGGAGTGTCTCCACCCACTCCCCCCAGCTCTCCCTCCCTTGTATCAGTTGCCTGGATGGGCTGGTTCCGGCCCCCAGGCCTTATGTTTGACATCCCTGTCCTAGATGCCTTCAGCTGGTTGATGAAGCAACGCACTCTTCAAGCTTAAGCACCTAAATCTTCCTATTTGACAATGTTCATTGCAAAACAATGAATCTCTCTCTCTCTCTCTCTCTCTCACTCACACACACACACACACACTGAGCATTACCTATTTGGGACTGAGCCACCATGGTAGATTTGCGATCGCAGAGAGGAGAGAATGGCAGTCCAAGTTCAGCCTCTTTGTCTCCCTGAGGGCAAAAAATGTCAAAACTGTAAATCTAAATATACAAATGAAAGCCAAGACAGAGAAGTCACAGAATGCACCAAAACATACCTCCGACTGTTTAACAAGACCAGCTTGCGGGCAATATTGTTCCCGAAGGAGAAAGAACAAAAAAACCCAAAAAACAAACCCCAGAGCCCATGTATAGGCAAGCAGTGTTTTCCCACTGCTTGTAACAGAAAGGGGAAACACTTTGCACGCTCTGAGGGAGCGGCCACAATTTGTAACGAATGCCTTGAATGTGTGGGGTTTGAACGATATACTCTACACCTATTAATTTTTTTGGTCATTGAATTACACCCATGGAGTTAAATGAGATAATCACCCCAACATCAAGATGCTAATCCATGCACAGCAACATGCACTGGCTCTACTAGAAAAGCAAAAAAGGACACTGGTGGGGAGGAAAGACAGGAACTTGGATCAAGCATGCAGACCCTCAACATTTTCAGCAGAAAAGAGCAAGAGTCCAGTAGCACCTTAAAGGCTAACAAAATTGGTGCCAGGGTACGTGCTTTCATGAGTCACTGCCCACTTTAGAAATGAGTGGTGACTCACGAAACCTCCTACCCTGCCACCAATTTTGTTAGCCTTTAAGGTGCTACTGGACTCTTGCTCTTTTCTACAGCTACAGACAGACTAACGTGGCTACCCATCTTGATCTATCAATATTTTCTGTTTGTCGCTGATAGCATTGACCACCTGTTAGGCTGTGACAGAGGGAGAAAGAAGCAGCCGAATTCCATGTATTTTGTACGGTCCCCTGCTATGCATATAAAACTTTTGCACATAGATGGCTGGAGATGAATGTGTGGAGGAGGCTGGGCCAGTGAGCAAGAATATAAAGTTATGAGGTCTTCTGTCATCGAAGCATAAGTGGAACCGCTGCTATGGCTCATCTGCCGGAGACTAATGGGTATTCAGAGACTTGACAAAAGAGAATTAATCATGCCTACGGACTGGTGATATTTTACTTAATGTCTTAAGAAATCTCTCCTCTACCTTTAGATCAGAGCTGGTGGGTGGGGGTTTGAATCTACAGTCAGAATCCAGTGACTAAAGAGTTTAAGTTGGACTGCTGGCAACCTCAAAGAAGGGCTAGGGAGTTTCAAAAACTTGCTCTCCGTGGGAATATGATGTAGGACCAGAAATTTTGCTCCCTGCTGTAGGAGTATTTACTTTCACTATGGTCTGCTTATAAATTTAAAAAGATATTATAAAGCCACCAAAATTCACCAGTGAGCTCTCATCCAAAGGAAACAAAACCCTGTAACAATACACAGGAACACAAGAGGTGCCCTGCTGGATCAGTCCAGTGGTCCATCTACTCCAGCACCCTGTTTTACACAGTAGTCAATCAGTTGCCCTGGTACGTCAACATACAGAACACAGAGGCTAAGGCCTTCCCCTGATATTGCCTCCTTGCACTAGTATCAATGACTTCTCACTACCTGAGGAAGTGGGTGGGTTTAAGAATGTAAATGTTTATAATGACTAGGGTTGCCAAGTCTCTTACCTTGGAAAGCAGGGGAGAGTCGGTCCCTTCCTGGGACAATCTCGCGCGCCGCGATGACATCACCCGGAAGTGACGTCATAATGCTGGGGATGTCACCGGGCAACGCTCTAGCAATCAGCCTGAAAACTCTATGGTACCATAGAGTTTTCAGGCTGATTGCTAGAGCATTGCCCGGCAACATGCCCAGTGTGATGATGCCACTTCCAGGCGACGTCATCATCCCGGGCACATCGGCCTGATCTGGGCACTTTGGAGGTGGGGGTTTCCCCTACCGGCTGGATCCGGACCGGCGGGTTGGGGGCCCTTTGGGTGGGAAAACTTCCACCACCCCCTGGGGGGACTTAGCAACTCTAATAATGACCAAGTTGGATAAGTGCTTGTAGAAGTTTTCTGCCCAACTAAGAAAAGGTTAGATCAAATAATAGCAAGAATAATATGCAAAAAAAATGGCTATTTCCCCTGTTTTTTGTCATTTAAGGGGATGCACTTAACCATACTTGCATTTTATAAAATTAGCTTTTCTAATTTTTAGGCTATATTTCCAATCAGATCTATGGCATAAGCTCCGTGCTTGGGCCCCAGGTACAAAAACCTTCTGTTCACAAATGCAAAGGAAAACACTACGCACCCGCATTTCATTGTTCCTTTTTCTTTATCGGTTCAAAATACAGCACCAGGTACAGCTGGTGACATATTGCTGCTTGTTATTAGCAAGTTTTATTATAGCTGAAATGCTTCACAAAAGAGCCGTATTAAGTCTTCACCTCAGAAACGTAGAATGTTGAAGGATGAGTCAGCCAACGTTAACCACATGGAAGTCCCACTCTCTCTTGTACAGACTATTAGCAGAGTTGGTTTACCCAATCAACCCAGAATCAGAACCTCTGAAAAAATATTTCACTTGGTGTTTTGGGGAAGGCACATAAGTTCTCTCTGATGCACTTGGAAGCTCATGTTGCAAACTACAGCGCCTCCCGGAATAATGTTCATAGTTACCTGTTTTTGCATTTTTCCATCTTAGGCAGATAAGGCTGCTGAAGCCATATCTCTCCACCCAGGACTTAGCTACAGTGATCCATGCAATGGTCACTTCCAGGCTTGATTACTGCAACTCGCTCTGTGTAGGCTTACCCTTGAGGCTGACCCAGAAACTACAGCTGGTGCAAAATGCGGCGGCGCGCCTGCTGACATGGACACCTGTGCAGGCTCATATCTGGCAGGTGCTTCGCCAACTGCACTGGTTGCCAGTTGACTTCCTTAGGTTTCATACCTTTAATCATATATGCCAATTGGGCAGGGGTTCTATACCATTTCAAAATTATATTTCTGTCAAGCTCTCTATACTTTTCTAATTTAATTTTCTTCAAATTCACCATTAACCTATTAACGTCGTCAGAAGTTATTTGTTTTTCTTTATTCCATTTATTTTTTAAGGTTCTTAGTATAAACTCCTTATCTTTCACCAATTCAAGGTAAATTTTCCCTGCTAATCCTTTCCTTATTTCATCCACATATAATACCTGTTCTAAATTATTGTCTTCCCTTTTTATAGCTTCTATATACTTATCTTGTTTAAACTTATCAACCCAAATAATATGCCAGGGAACCCACAGCCAGCTGATTTGTTAGATGCATGACTGTGTTTTAATGTTTATTCATTTTAAATGGTTTACATTGTTTAATTTTAATTGTATTTATTGTATGTTTTGTGATGTTACCTGTCCCGAGCCCGCTCACGGGATGGGCAGGCTGTAAATACAAATAATTAGTAAATAATAAATTAATAGAAGCTGTTACAGAAAATGAGGAAGGCTGCGACAGGATACACGAATTGTGGCAATGTTTCAGTATGCCAAATGCATATGAGATGAATCTCCCGGAAGGGAGGATGCACATGCCCAGATTTGTAAAACTTCATACATAAATTTTACAGCTGCAAAACCTCATGGGGTACAAACTGAAGTTTGATTTATGGCATCTGTCTGCAGTGAGTGAGAGCACCCAATGTATTGTACAGGAAAGATCTCTCATTAGGATACTAGGTACCAGCGGGCTCCTTTTCAAAAATTCACTTTGTTGCCGCCTCAGTTTGCTGTTCAGTCGCACAGTCGAGTCCGACTCTTTGTGACTCCATGGACCAGATCCCGCCAGGCCTTCTGGTCTTCCGCCGTCCTCTGAAGTTGGCTCAATTTCATGTTCGTTGCATCGATGACACTGTCTAACCATCTCATCTTTTGCCGTCCCCGTCTTCTTTGACCTTCAATCTTTCCCAGCATCAGGGTCTTCTCCAGTGAGTGCTCCCTTCTCATTTGGTGGCCAAAGTATTTGAGCTTCAGTTTCATTATCTGGCCTTCCAGGGAACAGTCAGGGTTGATTTCTTTTAGGATTGACTGATTTGATCTTCTTGCAGTCCAAGGGACTCTCAAGAGTCTTCTCCAGCACCATAGTTCAAAAGAATCTATTCTTCGGCGCTCGGCCTTCCTTATAGTCCAGCTCTCGCAGCCATACATGACTACTGGGAATACCATTGCTTTGACCATGCGGACTTTTGTTGGCAGGGTGATGTCTCTACTTTTTATCATGCTGTTTAGGTTCGCCATCGCTTTCCTCCCAAGGAGCAGGCGTCTTTTAATTTCATGGCTGCAGTCACAGTCTGCGGTGATCTGGGATCCCAGGAACGTGAAGTCTGTCACTACTTCCACAGCTTCCCCTTCTATTTGCCAAGGAGTGATGGGGCCGGATGCCATGATCTTAGTTTTTTTGATGTTGAGCTTCAAGCCCACTTTTGCGCTCTCCTCTTTTACCCTGAGCAAGAGGCTCTTTAGGTCCTCTTCACTTTCTGCCATTAGAGTGGTATCGTCTGCATATCTGAGGTTGTTGATCTTTTCCCCAGCAATCTTAATTCCCGCTTGTGATTCATCCAGGCCAGCATTTCGCATGATGTACTCTGCATATATATTAAATAAGCAAGGTGACAGTATACATCCTTGTCGTACTCCTTTTCCTATGCTAAACCAATCAGTTGTTCCATATCTGGTTCTAACTGTTGCTTCTTGGCCCTTATACAGGTTTCTCAAGAGACATGTGAGGTGGTCTGGTACTCCCATCTCTTTAAGGACCTGCCATAGTTTGTTGTGATCCACACAGTCAAAGGCTTTAGCATAGTCAATGAAGCAGAAGTAGATATTTTTCTGGTACTCTCTTGCTTTCTCCATAATCCAGCGAATGTTGGCAATATGATCTCTCGTTCCTCTACCTCTTCGAAACCCAGCTTGTACTTCTGGCAGTTCTCTGTCCATGTACTGTTGAAGCCTAGCTTGTAGGATCTTGAGCATGACCTTGCTAGCGTGTGATATGAGTGCAATTGTGCGATAGTTTGAACATTCCTTGGCATTGCCCTTCTTTGGGATTGGAATGTATACTGACCTTTTCAAATCCTGTGGCAAATTGAGTGCAGCACTTTAACAGCATCATCTTTTAAGACTTTGAATAGCTCAGCTGGGATACCATCACCTCCACTAGCTTTGTTGTTAGTAATGCTTTCTAAGGCCCATTTAACTTCACATTCCAGGATGTCTGGCTCGATGTCAGTGATTATACCGTCGTGGTTCTCAAGGACATTGAGGTCTTTCTTGTATAATTCTTCTGTGTATTCTTACCATCTTTTCCAAATCTCTTCTGCTTCTGTTAGGTCCCTACCGTTTTTGTCCTTTATCATGGCCAGCTTTGCATGGAACGTTCCCTTGATGTCTCTGGTTTTCTTGAAGAGATCTCTAGTCCTTCCCATTCTATTGTTTTCCTCTATTACTTTGCATTGTTCATTCAGGAAGGCCGCCTCAGTACAGAACAGCTAAATTCAAGTCCAGTAGTGCCTTAGATACCAACAAGATTTTGTGTGTGTGTGTGTGTTTGAGATGTTAAGTTGCTTGTGACTTATGGCAGCCCTATGAATTAGTGACCTCCAAAACATCCCATCATTGATAGACTACCAGGTCTTGCAAACTTGAAGCTGTGGATTCCTTTAATGAGTCAAACGCTCAACTGCATCTCTCTATGCATCCTTCCAAACAATGACTGGCTATTGCACATTCATATCCTTCACTATTTCACACTCATATACCTGATTCGCCAGCCCAGATCAACGATTAATTATTTCACATTCATAGCCCTGACTGCTGCATTGGACTGAGAACATTGTGTGTTAGGGTTGCCTGGTCCCCCCTGGCCACCGGCAGGAGATGGGGGGCAGGGCTGCAAGATCCAATTGGGAAACTCCTGGAGGTTTGGGGATGGATCCCAGGGAGGACAGGGACCTCAGTGGGTTACGACGCCATAGAGTCCACCCTCCAAAGCATCCATTTTCTCCAGGGGAACTGATCTCCGTAATCTGGAAATTGGCTGTAATTCCAGCAGATCCCCAGGTCCCACCTGGAGTCTGGCAACCCTAGTACTGTATGCGTTTGGGTGCACTGTTCGTCATCCACCTTTGAATGAACACATGGAAGCCTGCTAGCTTGGGTGTAGACTGATTCAGGTGAATCAAGCTGAGAATGTTTAACGGAATTTTTGATCAGTGTTTTCTTTTGTCATCTCCATGAGAACTCCGTTTCTACTCGTATCCGATGAAGGGAGTTTTGACTCTCGAAAGCTGATACCCCAAAAATCTTAGAATCGTAGAATCATACAGTTGGAAGGGACCTCCAGGGTCATCTAGTCCAACCCCTTGCACAATGCAGGAAAATCACAAACACCTCCCCGCCCCCAGTTATTAGTTTCTAAGGTGCTACTGGACTCAAATCTAACCCTACTACTGCAGACCAGGACAGCTACCCTCTGAAACTCTTTTCTCATGTCTCCTTGCTCAGAGCTTTAAAACACACACACACACACACACAGTAAACAGCAATTAGGACAACACAACACAACCCCATCATCTGGAGAATGGGGAAACAACTCGTAAAGGGAGAAATCCTAAGCAGGTCTTCTCGGAAATAAGTCACATGTAATTCAATAGTGTTTACTCCCAGGAAGTTATCCTTAGGATGGCATCCAAAATCCCTCAGTTCTTAAAAGTAATGTCAGGGGACAGAATACAAACACAGAGGACGAAGACTTGCAGGGAATGGCTCCAGTCTCCGAGTCTCTTCCTGTGACACTTACGCCATTTTAGAAACAAAACAGAACGTTTTCATTTATGAGTAAAGAGACTGTATTACAGGTTGGGATATGTGGAGTGCTACACTTGTGTTCCAGGCCCAGATAAATTATGAACTTAAGAAATTGATCCAGGAAAATGATAAGCAGGACAAACTACGGAAAGTCCAGTGTTAGCAAAATTTACAAATGCATTTTGAAAAATGGCACCTGTCGAAAGAATTCTTCCATCAGTGCTGTTGTCCACCGGTAGTGCAGTTCCCAGGACTTGGCGGGATGGCTTATGTCAGCTGCATGTAGAATCAGAGACATGGCTTTGGCTTTGTCTATCCTGTCAATGCAAAACATTCCCTTGTTATCTCACAACAACAGTACACATTGACCCAAGGCAAGGACTCAATTTAACTATATGAAACATGCACATTGACCCAAGGCAGAGACCCAATTCAACTATACAAAACGTGGCTCCACTGTAGACAAGAGAGACAAGACATTCCCTTGTTATCTCACAACAACAGTGAGCGTTGACCCAAGGCGGGGACTCAGTTTAACTATACAAAACATGGCCCAACTGGAGATAAGAAAGAGGGGAACAACTTACCCCTCCGTCTGCTGAAGAGTGTGCCTCATGGTTTTGATTTGCTGGAAGTGACCTGACATGTCGGTAGACAAGACCATCTCAATGACTAGGCTGCGCAGTTCCCTGAAGGCAATCAAAATTACTAATTTACAAATGCATTTATTCTGTAACGAGACGTTTCATTACAAAGCCTGGATTAATTTATCTGTCTGCACAAAGTGAATATTTTATGTTTAAAAAGTTAAATTAAAACGCACTTAAAATAGTTATTAACAGTAAATTTCCATCCCTCATGAACGTTGATTGCAGATGTGTATTTAAAAAGACAACCCTGCTATTACTATTTCAGTCCCGCTGTTTTGTTATTCCTCTTTTCTGAATCATAAACTATAATTATGAGCACTTCAGACACTTGGGGCGGGATGCTTGGCTTTATTTTCCCCGCAATGGCATTCAACGGAACCACGTGAGGGCATGATTCTGCCTCAGGCATTGTGTTTACTTCACTGGGAGACAGTGATAGAAGAAACGAAGTGGACTGAAAGATTCATGGAGAGTAGTGGTCACCACCATGGTTCCCATGGGCAATGTTCCCTCTAAGCTATGGCATCCTGTGAGCAAAAATTCTACTTTGTGAGCTACTGGCATTAAAGTTGTGAGCAGGAGCTTTGGCTGCTGCATAAATTAGTTTGCTCTGGAGCCCTCCTTCCTGAGCTGAGACAAAAATGTGTGAGCCAGAGGCTAAAAATCTGTGAGCTAGCTCACACTAACTCAGCTTAGAGGGAGCACTGCCCATGGGCACCATGGCTCTCGCCGACACCTTTTCTGGTGCCTGCCATGTGTTTTTAGAAAGTTGGCAGAGCCAGGTAGGGTTTTTGCTCCGCAAGGCTTCTGATTGGCTGGGCAATTTTTTTAAAGAAATATTGCTTTGGCAGCAGCTGCCACCACAGCACAAGTTATCTTCACTGTGTGACTGAAGGGAAGCATTCATCAAGGAAATCAAACTTTTGTGAGAGGGGCTATGGATCAAAGGAGGAGCACATGCTTTTGCATAAGTCAAGATGGGTAGCTTTGTTTGTCTGTAGCAGTAGAGAAGTCCAGTAGCACCTTAAAAACTAAAAAAATCAAAGACGAACAAAAGACTAATGTTAAAGACTAAGAAAAAGACTAACGAAACTGAGCAATGACTCACAAAAGCTCATACCCTGCCACAAATTTGGTTAGCCTTTAAGATGCTACTGGACACTTGCTCTTTTATACTTTTGCATGCTAAAGAACTTCTGAACACTAAACTTGTGTATGTGTGTGTGTGTGTGTGTATGTGTGTGTGTGTTATGGTCTCAGGGAGGTTGTTCCACAATGTAGGGGCTGCAAAGAAGAAAGCCCACATAGAAACTGGGGCTGTTTGGATGGCTGTACACAAAAAAAAATTGCAAGGAGCAGCTGATGCAGTAAATGGCGCAGTTTCTCACCATATGTGGGACCAATGCACATCTGGGGCACAGTAGACCATCGCCATTTGCAGGGGATCTGTTCATGGGATCATTGCAAATGGTGAAACCTGTGAATACTGGGATGCTGGGGTCTGCTGCCTCCCAGTAGCAGAGCATCCAGACTTAATGGTGCCATGAGAATGAAGATGGCAGGGTAGGAGTTTAAAAAGTTGGACTAACAATTGCCCATAAGTAAAATCGCGAATGGCGGGAGTCTACTGCAAATTCAGCAAACAAATAAATCTTTACAACGTTTCCCTTACTAATCTGTAGCCTCCCCATGATCCTCAGGCATGATCTGCCCCATGATCTACCTCCTACTTTATCTTTTGGTTTGGTTGGCTGCAGGTGTGAGTCAACACCACAGAGCAACCATCCCTGAGCTATGCAGACAGATTCTGGTGGGTAGCCGTGTTGGTTTGAAGCAGCCGAACAACGTTTGAGTCCAGTGGCACCTTTAAGACCGACAAAGTTTAATTCTGGGCATAAGCTTTCATGTGCATGCACATTCCTTCAGATACATTGAAACATACTTCCTCAAGCCTATGCCTTCTTGACTCAGAAAAGTCTAGACATATTTTGCAGCTGAGATATAATCTTGTGACTATTACAACCTTAAAAAGAAGACGGAGTTATTCCGCCAAGCATTCAACAACTTGGATTGAGTATGTAGCGCTTTATAGTCGCCACCTTGAGTAGGTTATACTGTGTGTAAATTGTGATTTTAATGTTTTGTATAGACTGTTTTAGATGTATTGTTTTATTGTTTTTATTGTTGTAAGCCGCCCTGAGTCGCTTCGGCGGGAGGGCGGGATAAAAATCAAATAAATAAATAAACAAACATCTCTTTCTGGAACATGGAGGCCACAGAGATCACTGCTTCTAACAGTGCAATCCTACACAGAGTTATGCCAGTCTAAACCCATGGCAATGCATCAGTTTACACTGGAGCCACTCTGCACAGGATTGTACTGCTAGTAACCAATGCTCCCTCTAAGCTGTGGAGTCTTGTGAGCAAAAAATCCTACCTTGTGAGCTACTGGCATTAAAGTTATGAGCAAGTGATTTGGCTGCTGCATCAATTAGTTTGCTCGGGAGTCATCCTTCCTGAGCTAAGACAAAAATTTGTGAGCCGGAGGCTAAAAGCCTGTGAGCTAGTTCACACTAACTCGGCTTAGAGGAAACACTGCTAGTAACTGTACAGGGTTAAAAATATCCTAAGCAGCCTTTCCACAAACCCCTCCTTTGAAAAGCTGATGTTTCTCTAGCTCAAGGCCATGCATAAAAGCTAAAGATAAAATGGCTCAGCTTGATTTTTCCATTCTGATTTCAAGAAGGTAACTCCGGGGTTGCAACTGGCTTTACCAAGTGGGCCTATTATTTGTGCTTAAATGACTATGTGCAGCCATGGTAACTGGTGGTGAGTAAAATTCTTCCCTTGCCTGACCTAACTGCAGGCTAGTAATTAACTCCAGTTCCTCCTGTACATTTATATGAAACGATGTCCTTCAATCCAAGGAACGCCATTACTGCAATAATGGGCTAAATATGTTCTTTTTCTGCTTAAAAATACTGTAACAAAACTTTTGACACGCCTCCGTAAATATAATTGTATAAGGGCATTTATTTGTTCACAGTTTGTTGGTACAGATATGAGAAACTCCAGTCTCTTTATACAGATCCGCAGGTACTGGGTAGCATTAACATGTTCCCATATTCCTCCTCGGTCACTCATAAAGAGCCCTCAGTCACTGAGGGAAAGCAATTGTAATACTATGGGAAGGAGAAGCAGAGGGATGGTCCTAATACCATGCAGGGGGGATTTTTTTATCCTGAGTAAAGTTTGCTCTCTCAGTCAAACACTGCCACTGTCTAGGAACCCTGGGCACACATTTCATTCAGTTCTCTCATATGAAGTCATATTATCTGTCCTCTCTGCATACCAAAGAAAAAGAACTTTGCAGTAGATCTTCTGGTTGAACCCTCTGTGCTCTTACTTTATCAGCTTGGTTGCCGTAACATGTCTATGATGGCCCCTGTCCACTTCCCTCCCTCAGAGGCAAGATTTTCCCTCTGTTTTTCTTTCCCTTTTGTGACTGAGCTGCCCTAGTTATCTGTTTTCTTCTTTCTTGAAGAATTCTGGCTGTCCCACCCTGTCACAGTATAATATTTTGGCTGTTTGCTCAGCCCAGGAACCTAAAGGAAGGAATGTGACGCCCCTTTAACTTATAAGACTTAAATGGCACTCAAATGGCAAAACAGAATAGAATTCATGAATATCAAGATGTGTCTGGTTAACTGGAACGCTCACCAATACCAACCCTTGTGGCTAAACAATAGGCTGCCCTACATGAGGCTTCTTCCAACTGGTGATTTACTGCGCCTGACCATAAACTTTAGCACAGCTCACCAAGAGCTACATAATGGGGGGACTACATAAAGATTTTCTATGACAGCAAGGGATACCTTCAGAAAACCATGTTGCTATGTTGGAGATAAGAAAGAACCATCTGGTAAGCCGTGCTAGGTACAACATTTAGACTTAGAGAGCTCATCTAGAAGAAGTTACCAGGTAATATCAGACAGCTGCTGGAGGCCAAACAATGCCTTGCTTGTAGGTTTCCCAGAGGCCAGCCATTGCTGAGATCAGGATACTAACCTAAATGGCTTGTTGATCAGATCCAGCAAGGTTCTTCTCACATAGATTGGCTTCTAGACCAGATAGTGATGGCTGCTAGTCTCATGACACCATTAGAATCATAAGCACTGTGAAAGCCACCCATGGCAGGTTGGTGGGATATAAATTATAGTTTCGTAAAAGGGATTCTACTGAAGTACTACTGAAAACGATGGAAATTCGAATGTGGTTTGCATGTGTGAAAGAACCACCCCACATCAATAACCACCGCCAGAACTTTCATAGCATCTAGCATTCAGTGAAAGCAGTTCCAGTGTTTAGCTTCAGGACATTCAGTGAAGAATAAGAGATATTTACATGTGAAAGAGCCCTTAATTTAGAGAAGTCACAGTGAATGAAAAATAGTTAATATGCTATGGCTGGCTTTTCATATTTGGCAAATTAACACCTGAATAAAACTCGAAATAATAATGACAATAATGGGAAATATATGATTAAGAGCTTCATAGTATGGCTACTTCCCTGTCTCCCAGATCACCCGGGTAATGCTCTTATTGAGGGGCAACACCCACTTGGAAAAGACCCTTGTGATACAGAAAAGCCATACTGGATGAAGCTGTCACATGGTATTTGGAGACACAGTAATCAGCTACTGGGGCATGGTTTTGTGATTGCTGAGATAACATGAACTGGGCCTCTAATCAGTATTGTTAATATATTTCTCAGCCTTACCTCCATTCATCTTTGGTTAAGTTTGCCAGGATGTTCATTTCCTCTTCTTGCATTATTCGGTAAGCGGCACTCACATGATGGTTTTCAAGAACCGAGCGATCATTGTACAAAATGGCGACATCCGACCTAGATGTAGACAGTGCAGTCATTGTGGGTTTATCTTTCTGTTATGTTAAAAAAAGGGATGTATATCTGGCTGAGACCAAATCCCGCAGAATAGCATTTTGCCCCCTTCTAAAAAGTCTACCCTCAAAAAGTTGGGGTTGCTACGTGCAACAATGGCCAACCTTACCATGAAGTAGCACGTACATTAGCTTGCAAACACCAAACAGGCAAATTTGCTTGCCTCAGATTTACATTCGTATATACCACTCTGAAAAAAACTATGAGCTGTCATCCAGAGCAACAGCCCTACAATATCACAGGGAAATCTGCTTGTGCGTCAGCAGACATGTTTATAATCAAATGTCATTTTAGAACAGAAGGGTGGGAAACATTTCCCTGAGTAAAGTCTCTTGGCATACTGTGTTAGTATCAAACTGAATGGGAAGAGATGAGTTTTTCTTCCATTTTTTTTTACAGCACTTAAAACCAAACTATTTGGGACCAAAATAGAAAAGTCGTTTAAATTGGGAATTACTGGACTGATAAATGTTATTTTTAGCTGACATCTGAAAATGTTGGTTTGGGAAAAGGCGGATTCTATCACCATAGGAACAGATACAACACTGGATAAATACATCAACACACACAGTCTGAGCATTTGCAGTTAATCTTTTGAGTAGTGAAATCACTGAGTCCTCTTTTCTCCTGCAAATAACATTAACAGAAACACAACTTTTTAAAGAGTATGGTCTCATTACAAATTGCATGTATGCCCTTAGAGACATTGTGCCTCTTCATACCACCAGGTGGGGTTGCCATCCGAGCGCTAGCAATCTCCAGGAGCTTCTGGGGGCAGGGCTGAGTGTCATGTGACATCACTTGTAGTTGTGTAACTGGAAGTGACATTACACATTGTCAGGGATACTCTAGCAAGCCCCACAAACCTGTTATGTCCGCAGATCGCCACTGGGCGCCCGTGATTCAGCGGAGCTTGAGTCCAGAGAACAATGAGGACTAGGCTCCTGCACCCTGCCTCTATGGAACTAATGGGACATTGGCGGGAGGTTTGAATGGGCCAATGAGATTCCGCAAGGGTTCCCCAGAATGTATATAAGCGGCTGCTTGGCCGTTGGTAGATGTGCGTGTTGTGTACTAATAAAGTGTGCTATGTACTATGCGTGCCTCAGCGGTTCTTCCATGCGGCTAACCCACTACACAACAAAACCTCTATGGGAAACCATAGAATTTTGGAGGATTGCTAGAGCATCCCTGCAATGCATGACATCACTTCCGGTCACACAACTGGAACTGACATCATAGTATTGCTGTGACATCAGTTTTGGGGTCCTATTTCTCCCACTGCACAGCAGTGTAGGACTGGAGAGCAGGAGGTCTCTGGCTATAGCAGAAGACCTATCCTCCCTATAATATAGCCTCCATTTCCTACACTTATTTGTGACAGCCTATGGAAAAGCCCAGAAGCTTATAAACTGTATGCTCACTATGCACAATCTGGGACCCTCTGTTCTGCAGGATCCTTCCAATGGATCCAAACCACCTTCTTTCAGCCTAACCTAGTGAAGCAGACTGCTGCTTGTTCTCTCCGGGAGATCCCATTTCCCCTTCCACCATGTCGCTAAGCAACAACTTCAGGAAGGCTTTCTCAATTCTCATCTGCAAAGAGAGCAGAGACTCCAAGGTTTCAGCTGAGCTACTGCCAAAGAGGGAGAAATCCAAAGTCGTCAAGTAGAACCATTTGTCCAGAGAAAGTGGATGTAAACTGAATCCACTCGTTGTTGAATATCACAGTACGGTTGCAGTGTAGTGATCCTTCACCTTCTGAATTGTCTTGCCCACACAGGAAAACAAAGTTGTGAATGATTATAATGATGCAATGATAGCATGATATCCAACAGTGGGTGGATGTAGCCTTGTATATAGTTCTGGATCCCTGAGGCCTGACTGGTTTGGATCCAAAGGACACATGCGGCCATATTTAGAGCAACATTTATGTCATAACGTTGCAAACTCCAGTTTGAGAAATTCCTGGATATTTGGGTGTGAAGCCTGGGAAAGGTGGAGTTTGGAGAGAGGCTCAGCAGATTTTTGATGCCATAGAATCCATTCTCTGAAGCTGTGGATTCGTGCAGTATGGAGATCAATTATAATTCTGGGGGGACTCCAGGCCCCACCTGGAGATTGGCAACTCCAGCTATATAAGCATGGCGCTGAAGAGTAATCTTCCCAGTGCCTGGGAAGACGATAAGTGTGCTAACACAAAGTTGGTATTATGACAGTTCTAGTAGAAAATTACTGAGTGATACATTTTGCTTGGAATCAGGCAATTAAAACTTTGCATGGTTTATTGAGGGTAAAAGGAACATATTTTTTTTAACTGATTGAGTAATTAGTAACATGTTGACACATAAAAAAATCATGACTACATCTTTCGTATCTGGCATGCTTGACCCCTGTTCACTCTGGTAAATAACTCAAATTCAATTTTCATTTAGTTTAAAGTTCTGTCCTCGTACAAGCATACACAGTTTTGTAGTGAACTTTGCTGACAAAGTTATTGCTTTACCCTGAAGACATCTAAGATACAGATGCCAACTGGGGTGTGTATGTGCCTGTCGTACTATCTCAAAGGATTGAGCAGAGGTCCATCTGTAGCTATTAGCCGCAAGGTATAGATGGAACACTATCTCTGGGGCAGTGATACTCTATATTCTTGGTGCTGGGGTGGGGGGCAACTGTGGGAGGGCTTCTGGAGTTCTGGCCCAACTGGTGGACCTCCTGATGGACACCTGGGTTTGGGTAGCAGAGAAAAGAAATCACAGTGGTAGGAATCAACAACTAGAGAGATACACTGTGAATAAGAGATGTTCAATATCTAGTTACAACAATCTTTCAAAAATCTTAATAAAGATTCAAATATTTTATGAAAAATATAAGTGCAATTATATAATTTAAAATATAAGTGGTTTTTGGCCACTGTTTGACAGATTGTTGGACTAGATGGGCCACTGGTCTGATCCAGCATGGATTCTTTTATGTTCTTATGATTGCTGGAACAATGAAACAGGGTTGCTTCAAGGGTTGACAAACCCTTGGGAGACCTCCCAGAATTACTACTGATCTCCAGGCTGCTTTGTAGGGGATGGACTCTAGGGCATTATATCATGCATACTGAATTCGCATCAAGGTGCTGGTTCTTACCAATAAAGCCCTTTATGGCCAGGGGCCAGCATACCTGAGAGACCACCTATCCCCACATGTTCCCCAGAGAGCACTGCGCTCAGGGACACAAAATCTCTTGGCTCTTCCTGGCCCTAAAGAGGATGGGCTGGCCATGACCATGGCTAGGGCCTTTTCTGTGGTGGCTCCGTGCTGGTGGAATAAGCTCCCCAAGGACATCAGGGCCCAGCAGTGTTTACAACAATTCCACAGGGCCTGAAAGACGGAGCTCTTCCACCAGGCATTTGATTGAGAAGTCACATATAATATCTAATATAAAATTATAGCCTTACCGTGGAATTTCACCATCAGCTGTTACTACTATGCTGACAGATACCTGTTTATATAATTACTTGGAAATTATGTTTTGCCATCTTATAAGCAATATCTATGTATAGAACTCTCAAATCGTTTTATGATTTTAACTGTTTTTAAGCTTTTATTGTAAGCCGCCCTGAGCCTGCCTCAGCGGGGAGGACGGGGTATAAATTGAATTAATAAATAAATGCTGAGGTCCCTTTCCTCCCCCAACCCCACCCTTCTCAAGATCCACCCTCAAATCTTGAGGAATTTCCCAACTTGAAGTTGGCAATCTTTGTTGCATGTATTTATTTGAACATTTGTATCTTTCCCCCGTCCAATGAGGTAGGAAGGTGGGATATAGACATGAGAAATAAATCCACATTTAAGAGTGTGGGTAAAGACTGCATGTGAGCATTGTTTTCTACATAGAAACATCAGTACATAGAAAATGTTCTCCTTCACTACAGCGTATATCTCAAGCATCTTCAGGGGATTCAGTCCTAAGCCTGCAATCTTGTCCTATATTTTTGAAACAGGATCAGCAGTAAAGCATTGAGATGGGAAAATGTGTCATATTGTTTCAGATCAAAGATAGGTGATCACGTGTTTGGATTCGCCCCTACTTTAAAAACTCCGTGCACATTTTTTGGGGGGGGGGGGGGGCAGCAGACCAAAGGCTGAAAATAAGCATACAGCTGAAAATAAGCATGCAGTTGTTAACATACCAGTTCTCAAGATTCACTGATTTCACACTGTACTCTCAGGGCAGGGACCACTGCCCAAGAGTCACCCACAACCGCAACCCATTACACTTTGCAGAAGACATGCACATGCTGTATGCATTTACCCTGCAATAACCACTGATCTAAAAGCCAAAAAGGAAGATTTGGCCAAAGACATACTAGAGCAGGGGGTCCCCAACCTTTTTGAGCCTGCAGGCACCTTTGGAATTCTGACACGGCATGGTGGGCACAGCCAAAAAATGGCTGCCACAAAATGGCTGCCAAAGGAGGCGGAGCCAGCCACAAAATGGTTGCCAATGCTTACCTTCAGTCAAACATTTGCTGATACTTGAGTTGGAGTGGCAGCTACTGACAAAGCAATGTTTTTTAAAATTCCATCAGCCAAAGAAGTCGCCAATGGCCAATCAGAAGCCTTGCTGAGCAAAAGACCCACCCAGTTTCTAAAAACACTTGGCAGGCACCAGGAGAGGTCATGTTGGGAACCCCTATGCTACAGAATCCAAACTGCCCTTAGGTAGATTACCATCAATACAGAAAGCATCTCAGTAGCTACAGCTGCAAGCTATACCTTGCATGGTGCTTTAGCGCTCATGTGTATGCATTTACTGCTCAATACATGCACCAGACATACAATGCATACATTACCCACTTGAAAATCTAACTTGTTGAGAGGGAGCCGAAGCCTGAGAAGTGACACTAGCAATGGACATTGGCAAAGGTTTAAGCAGACACATCCCCCAGAAGCAGAAATAGGGACAAAGATATTCCAGGGACAGATACTAGAGCCACTGAGCCACAGCCTATGCATGACCTATGCATGACCAGGCCATTGACCTTCTTCTATTCCCATCTCTTGGCATCTTACAGAAACGCCTTAAGTACTGTATTAACGGAAGCTTCTATATCATGTATTGTTGATATTATTGACAGAAGTGAGTATCTTGGGAATCTTGTGGAACTAGGGTTACCAAGTGTCAAACTCTCTTTAGTTTGCCATGATTTGTAGGAGGGGGGGAATTCCTAAGGGGTGTGTGAGTGGCTGTGTGAACTGCTCTATCGTAGGCACGAACTCTTCCTAAGATACCTCTCTTCTATCGGAACGTCCTTGAAGCCAAGCTGTGCCTGCTTCACTGTCTTAGATAATGGAACAGTATGTCCATAGGTGGGGGGTGTAGAAGTGAGAAAGCTAGGCGGGAAGTTTGTGACTTGTGATTGGATGTAATTGAAGGCGGGGGGGCTTTGTTTGAACTGTCTATATCTGTGGATTCTCCCGCCAGAACCCCAGTTCTGACACAGTACTGGTCTGGCCTGGTACATGATTATTTCTTAATAAACAAATCACTGACAGAGAGTGTTGGTGAGAGTGTTGTTGAGAGTAACTTTGTCCAGAGTAACTTTGTCCAGGAGTCTGACACCAAGTCCCTCCTGGGAACTGGTGGGAGATGAGGGGCACTTACATGGAGAAAGAGAAAGGCCTCATTGCTGGCGTCGCACAGGAAGTGGTGTCATCATGCCAGTGATGTCTGGGTGACACTCTGGTATATGGGCAAAAACTCTATGGTAAAACTAGCTTCTGCCAGAGTTTTTGCCCAATACCAGAGTGGCACATGGACATTGCTGGCATGATGACTTCACTTCTTGTGCAACACCAGCCATGAGACCTAGGCCTTCTCTTTTCTCTGGGTAAGTCTCCCCTGCGGGCCAGCTGATCAGGGGCTGGGGATAGGGGCTGGCAGCGGGGATTTCCTGCCTCCACTGGGAGGTCTCACAACCCTATGTGGAATAAGACCATTAGGACACTTGACCATTCCATAATGAAAACATGTTATATATAATAGCTTTAAAACATATAATACATGGTAAAACATCCAACATTTAAAACAATGGTGCTCAATCAAGGGCTGGGGATAGGGGCTGGCAGCGGGGGTTCCCGCCTCCACCGGGAGGTCTCACAACCCTATGTGGAACAAGACCATTAGGACACTTGGTGCCCAGATGACAGACTTCTTTTGCCCTTGATTTCAGTGGAGATTAATCGCTTCGCTCGGTTTTCTGCGGCAAGCTTACCTGGTCTGAATGTGGAAATTGTTCGTCGTCCCATTGTGCTCGTAATCGTGGACTGCAGCTGCAACGATCATCGCTAGTATTTCCAGTTCAGTGAGCCAGTGCTAACCAACAAAACCAAGAGTCCATCAGATGCAGTGCAAATAGTTCAACTCTGGCTAAACTTTATGCCTAATCTCGTCTCTGATGCAGGTCATGGTGCACTTTGGACTGCCCTTCATGCTAATAATTTAGAAGACTGACACCAGTCTGGGCTGGCCACAGGAAGTGGCAAAGTGCAAGGAAGCCCCTGTCTCGTTCCACACTGCTGCCATATGATAGCAGGGCATCAGCAGCTGATGCCAGAAGCGTTGTTGTTCAGTCGCACAGTTGAGTCCGACTCTTCGCGACCCCATGGACCATCTCCCGCCAGGCCCTCCTGTCTTCCGCCTGTCTCCTTACCAGCACGTAATTTGTCTTTGGGAGGAGAGATACTTAAAAAAAAATAATCATGCCAGGTCATCAGCTGCCATTAAAAGTTTCCTTTTAGAGACTAGAGAGTTCTGGGACAGGCTTCCAGGCATGCCTAAGCAGAGCTTCAGCCTTCTAAGGCCAGTGAACTCTGTTTAGATGCCACCGTAACCAGGGGTGACCCTAGGCAAAAGTCCAGGGTGGGCCCCCAGAATATGTGCCCTCCCACCACACTCCATCTGGGCCACCCTAGGTTCAAGCAAGGGGGAAGGTCTCACCCCCTGAAAGGCAAGTGGGCTTCACAAGCCAACTGTCTGCTGCCCGAGCACCAGTGAGAGTGGGCAGGTGTATTGGAATAAAACAATTCAACATGCCTGGATATTGGGGAGTGCTACATTACTCTAGATGTGTCCAGGTGTTATCTCCTTAATGAATGGGGTGCCTCTCTTCATCTTATCCTGGGAGCTTCTCTCTGACTCCTCCTTCTCTCCCTGTGTCCTTTGCTCTCTCTCCTCCTGGACCCGCAAGGAGCAGCATGCATCTACAGGTCTCTCCCATAGAAGCCACGACCTCTTACTCCCACACACGTCCTACCCGATTAGCTGGTCAAATATAGTAGGGAACAGCATTCTTTAGATTAGGTTTCTCTCTCTCCTTTTGGCGGCAACGTGGGCGTGACTTGAATCTACCTCAACAAAGGTAAGTCTCGACTTTTCTGAAATCTACTTCTTTGGAATTGATTTGCTGCACAGGATATCACGCTTCGAGGACTGTGCAGCTCTGCTACATTAACTCATACATGCCCCCAATCAGGTGGACATGTGACAAGGCTGCCACCGAGCCAACCGGCCACTACCTGAGCTGCATGCGTGGGAGGTGCGGGCGAAGAGTGTCCGAGACGTTGGAAGTTTTGAGGCACGCTCCCCACACTCGGCAGTTCCGGCCACCAGAGCCACATCTGAGGAAGCGCCCCCTAGAGGCTGCAGGAAGAGGGAACTGGCCACACACAAACCCTGCTCAGGCCTGGAGCGCACAATGCTGGGGCCCAGAGCTCTGGTGAGGTACTGAGGAGCTTCTCTGCCTTACCAATGTCACCTGAGGGGAGAGGGAGGAGGAGGGGAAATGCTTTCTGTAGGTTTTCTTTCTGGGGGACAGAGAAGAAGCCGCTATTAAGGGAGAGGGGAGAAAGCATCGAGCACGGTCCCTTCCTAGGCTACGGGCTGAGTACCAGAGACCAGGCTGCCCACCAGCTCCTCAGGCGGCACACCCCCATTTCCCCTCACAGAACCCAACCCACAGCATCAGAGAGACCCTCAAGACAGGGTCACTGTGCCATTAGGGACCCAAACAGTGGTGCCGGTATGTTCGTGTGCCCGCCTTCTCTCTCCAGGGAGGAAGAGGAGGTGGTGGAAGATGGCAGTCTGCTTGGTGCAGACATGGAGAGACCAAAATTGTACATGCCTGCCCCAGAGTTTTCCACATGTGGTTGCTCAGCTGCAGTCTCCTCTCTCCTGCCCTCACAGCTAGCTGGGTGCAGATTTCTCACCTGTGAAGGCCTCCTTTAGCACAGCTCCCTTTGAAATGGGGCTGGTGATGGGACACTGGCCAGCAGGGAATCTTTGCACCCAATTTACTCAAGTGCTTCTCTATCCCCCCCTTCTGCAGTTAGCTGGGTATATGTGTGAGGCGGCCACAAAGCTGGCCAGCCGCTGCCCAAGTCCTGGAGTGGGCAGCTGGGCTGGAAAGCTGTTAGCTCTTCCACCTCTGGAGGGTGGCCATGGTCAGTTGGGGGGGTCATGGTCAGTCAGGGGTCCCCCTGCCTGGGACAGCTGCCCCACATGCCTGCGGCTCAGACCACCCCTGACTGTAATGGATTGTAACCAGGGGTCATTTCCTGCAGGAGCACACAGGAGCAGAACTCCGGCAGTAAAGAACCCAGGAGGCAGGCACATGCAACAAGCCCCACCCCTTGCTCCCAGCAGCCCTCAGTCAGAGCAAGAAGCAGCCAAGTAGGTTTCAGAGCTCCCCCCCGGCCCCCCAGTCCAAAACAGTCCAGTGGCACCTTTAAGACCAAGTTTTATTCAGGTACAAGCTCTCCCTCCTCTGGGAGGACAGATCTGCACGTTCCCCCCCCCCCAAAGCTAGGAATCCAAAACAGTCCAGTGGAGCCTGAGCAGTGGGTGTTGCCTTCTGACACACTTCCGGTGATGTCAGGGTGTGTGGCATATGCAAATAAGTTATGCTAAGGAGTTATGCTAATGAGCTCCTGCACCTCTTTTTCCACGAAATGACCCCTGATTGTAACCTTTGACTTACTAGAAACAGGCTTATGATATTTATCATTGTTATTTATTTAGGGAGATACTCCGTGCATGTGTTTAAGACCATACAGCTTCGGCATGTCTTACCATGATACCAGTCAGAAGCATGATGCAATGCACAGTGTGCGTGACGTCCGCCGCGTGGATTAAGTTGTGGTAAGGGTTTTTGTATTTGCTGTAGCCTATCTCCAGAGCCTCCCCAAATGAAATAAGACTGGGAACGGGGATCTGAAAAAGGCAAACATTGTACAAATTTAAAAGAAAGTTCACATTCCAATGAAGCACTCTGTCAGACAACACACACGGCTAATTGTGCCATTTCAGTGTCCAAATGTCACCAGAACGATGCAATAAAGAGAAACAAACAAAAACTCTGGCACCTGCAGGGATTATGTGCAGGATCATTTCAGGGCATAGTCAGATAGCAACTTTCATGCGTTATCATCCATTAGATGAAATTAGAGCTTTGGTCCCTTCAGAACGGAGGCACTTTTCTTGCTCGGGGATTTACAAATACATAATGTACTCACTGGGGCCGATTCCACACCAATGGTTCCCCTGGTGTCATGCCCCAATAATATTCGTGGCAGTGGATCATTTCTGCAGTTCGTCTGATCACGCAACCGTGCGTTATTTTCCCCCAGGGAAAACAGCCACGCTCCCCCCCCCCCCCCGCATTTTCCGTTTCTGGTTTTTTCACGATCTTTTTTTTTTTGCTTTGGTGCTGGAGTCGGGGTATTCCAACGGGGAACTCAGTCAGGGTTCACGCTTGCTAGTCTCACCCCTTTCCCACCCCTTCCCTCCCCCATCCTGTTTTGGATGGCTACTTGCAGGGAGCAAAGGGCTGGACCCTTCCAGCCCGCTCAGAGGCTCGCTTGCCATGAAGTCAGTGTGTGTGTACAGGGGGCACACAGTGGCAGTCAAAAGCTGGGCAGAGAAATACCAAGGCAGCCCCGGGCAGAGGAGAGGTGCCGCACAGCCAGTTTGCCTTGGCAGATCTACCCCCCCCCCGGAGGAATGTCCCCCCAGGACCCAGCAAAGCACGGGCATCCCCTGATTAGCCTGGTGCGGGGCTTGGGTGCTGAGCTGATTCTCCCGCTTGTTCTGTGGACTACCCTACCCCCCCCTAGCCGCCTTGGACAGCCTTCACCCAGCGCAGGCTGCCCACAGCCTCTTCCCCCCCTCCATGAAAGGCAACAGTTGCTCTGGGCCGGCCGGGGCCAGGGAGTGCTATAGGCGCGCGGGGGGGGGGTGTTTGGCAAATTAGGCTGGGCGAGTGGGGGGGAGGAACTCAAAAGAAACTGTTCTTTTAACCATTACATTGCCACCTCAAAGCAGGAGTCAATGGTCTGCAACAGGGATAACCCCAACTTAACCACAGGAGCAGAACGGGCTGAGGATGTGATGAAGAAAATATGTAGGTGAAATCCAAACGAAAACCACGCTTCCTTTTTTAAAAAGGGGGGGAAGGGGGAAAACAGGAGGCAATGTATGCACTATGGTTACTCCCCTTAGTGGTGCATCACAACGCAACCACGCATGCATTTTTTTAAAAAAGGGGAGAGGAAAAAACAAGGGGGAGGAGCGGCAACACAGAAGGAAAGTCAGAAAAATATAGCATATGCAAAAATCAAGATCCGACACAGAACGACCACAAAAGGCGGAGAGTTAACTGCTGTGCAGAACTCGTGCATTACATCTGGACCTTTGGAACATGCAGGTAAACGAAAGCAAACCATTAATGCGGAATCAGCCTCGTTTTTTCTTTATCAGTTTAGCAGTTTGTCAGTGTTACCATTTCTCTTCATGTTCGGTTCACTGACAAAGTGGTGTTTTCCCCCATTTTTTCTATGTTTAATTAAATAATTTTAATACACATTTTATACATCCGTGACACACATTTGTAACAAAGGTGCATAATTAGGAATAAGAAAGAGTTACAATATTTTTAAAAATTAAAGATGTATTTTTCTTGATGGTAAATATTCAAAACAAGTGAATACAAAACAGGGCGGTGGGAATCAGTATTCATTAACTGCATTGTATTGCCTTATGGATTTTTCTCACGACCAGGCTCTGAATCTCTAAGTGAATCGGGCTGGAAGAAAAATGCCAAAAAGGACTGGGGGCTGGTCAGTGAAGGTCTATGTGGCACAGAGAACAACTACCAGGATCAAAAGTTATAAAGCATTTATTAAAAAGAAGAAGAAGAAGAGATTGGATTTATACCCCGCCCTTCACTACCTAAAGGTGTCTCAGAGTGGCTTACAAACTCCTTTCCCTTCCCCTCCCCACAACAGACACCCTGTGAGGTAGGTGGGGCTGAGAGACCTCTGACAAAAACTGTCCTTTTTCAAGAACAGCTCTTATCAGAACTACAGCTTGCTCAAGGTCATCCAGCCAGGTGCAAGTGGAGGAGTGGGGAATCAAACCCGGTTCTCCCAGATTAGAGTCTGCACACTTAACCACTACACCAAAGTGTTCACAAGAATACCTTTAGCACAGCAGCAGATTGAGCAAGGGATTCAAAAGAAATGAGTAAAATGCCGTTCCTCTGCCCCTCCCTCTATATATGCCCCATCAGATGTTAAATATAAGGCAGGCTCCTTAGCTTAGAAAGTTACCAGATGTTTACAGGAGTTTCATTACCTTCAAGCCTTCTTTAGGCCAGCACTTGGCAATGGCTGCCTCCCACAGATCTCAATTACGAGTTCTGCCTGCTTTGATGGAATCAGCTCAAAAGAGGCCTTCCGCCTTGCTCCCAAGAGTTTTATTATCTCTTTTTCTCAGTCACTGACCAGGTCAGGCTGGGTCAAAGAAGCTTTTCCAGAATTTTCTTCCTGAAGTTCTTCTAGTACTTAATACCACCAAATCTCTGTTACCTGTAAAGGTGGGAGGAGCTTGACCATTCCATTGCTTCTTGCTAGACCTATTTGCATTTCTAAAAAGGTGGCTGAGGCTTGAGGCTGTCCCCCCCCACTCCCCGCCTGTTCTCTGCCCAGAGAGAAAAACGTTTAAAAACTCCTGTTTAAGGTTTAACTCAGTTCGGACATCCATCCAAAAATGTATTTCTTCAAAGCAATCATCCTTTGTCTGGTCTTCTTCTTGCACTCAAGCCCGAGGACTATAATGCAGTGACTCTGTCTATTCCTTATTTAAGGAACAGGTTCCTAGTTCACCACAATGGGCTGTATCCTACTACCCCATATAGATAAGGGCAGCACGTTCCATCAGCACAAAGCCCATTCTGTCCTTGCAATGGGCTCTCAGCCCACTGGGGTGGCAGGATGCGGGCCATTCTTAGGTTGCTTTCTGTGCTATTTTCCATCATATTCCAGTCATTGCAATATGTTGTCACAGATGTTATTTACAGAGAAAAGTAGCTTTCTTTGGTTTTGGTATGCTCATGTAGCATTTCCTACCTTGAAACGGCTCAAAAGGTCATATCTGGTAAACAATTCATACATCATGAATTTCAGGCTGTGCCCTCCACTTGCTTCATTGAGGGCAAACACATCAAACGACCATTTATCAACATCCTGTTGAGACGGGCAAAGGAGAAACCAGATAATTAAGAACCTTCATACCTTTCTTTTGTGTGTGTGTGTTTTGGGGGTGTGTGCTGTCAACTCGCAGATGACTTATGGTGACCCTTAGGATATTCAAGGCAAGACATGTTCAGAGGTGGCTTTCCAAAACTCACCCTTGTATAGCAACCCTGGACTTCCTTGGTGGTCTCCACTCCAAATGCTAGGGTTGCCAGGTCCCCTTGGCTTGCCAGCAGCAGGATTTGGGGGGAGTTCTGGGGGTGGGTGGGGATGTTGCACGACATTCTCAATGTGATGATGTTATGCAGAAGTTATGCCATCACATCAGGGATGCTGCATGGTGATGCTCTGCATTTTGGGCAGAACTCTATGGGGTTTTTGACCTAAAACCATAGAGTTTGCCCCAAAAGCAGAGCGTTGCCATGCGATGTCCCAATGTGATGACATCACTTCTGCATGACATCATCATGTTGGGGACATTGCTGTGCGGCATCCCTGTTTGGGGGCAGGGCTTCCCCCACCAGCCAGCTGGCCGGCGCTGGACAGAAGCCTGAAAAATCGGGGAAACTCCCACCCAGACTGGGGGCCTGGCAACCCTACCAAATACCAACCAGGACCATCCCTGTTTAGCTTCCAAAATCTGATGAAATTGGGCTAGTCTGGGTTATCCAGATAATTATGACAAGCTAATAAATTTGACTATATATTTGTTAAGGGGAAGAAAATAAGAACCTCTTGTTTTTGGGTGAACTAGGCCCTCTATGTTTCAGCAAAGCTAATGTTCCATACAGAAAGTAATCTGATTATATACTTATTTACACAGACAGACAGCCACATGGGCTTACCCTACCAGAGTGATTCTGTGAAAGAGAAACATTTCTACCTATTGGCAGTAGCTTTCTTGCTTCCCCCCTTCCACTGCAGTCTCAAATGCCCCCAAGTCGGCCCCCTGTCCTCCAAGAGAAGCATTCTGAGAGGTTTTTTGAACTGCAGTGAACTAGGGAGGCAAGAAAGTTGCACTTTGTGTCAGCAGAAATCCTGTCTGCAGAAATGTTCCAGTGGACCGAAGCAAAACCATCTAAACAATTCTTGAACTGATCTCACCTTAAAAGTTGATATCACTTCTGCTGGGTAGGCCAACCCAACCATGTTGGAAGTTCTTCGATACATTCTAGAAGAGAAGAAATCTAAGTGAAAAGGCGGTGATAGATTGGGGACCATATCTTGTGAAGTTGCTTTTGTACAGTTAGGGTTAATGCAGTAAGGGATTCTTGAAAACATATGGAAGAAAGGGGGCTACAAAAGTCCTTCCTCAGAGCAACTACTTCACAACTCAACCCAGTAACAATTGGAGCACAACCCTAAACAGAATTACATCCTTCTGTAGGTTTAAGAGTATAACTCTGTTCAAGATTGCCCTGATAATCAATAAACCTCCCAATCAGTTAACCTACTGGATCTTTGCATTTAAACATTTGAGGTCTTTCTTTGGGAACCACCACGAACAGAGGTTTAGCTGATGGAATCCCAGAGGACAGCTTTTTTGGGATGTTACCTCCACACACACTTTGGGACTTCTCCCATTCAGGAGTTGAGAACTGCTGCTTCCCCAGAAGACTCTTGCATGAGTCTGAAGACCAGCCTTTTCCAGAGTATCTTTGAATCAGATCTATAAGAAATGGGGTTGGATCCAGACTAAACTGGCAATTTCCACTGACTTCTCCTTCCTG